TAAGACATAAACCGAGCAAAGAGCAAAATGGTAATTAGCAAAGGAAAGATTGGAGAAAAGAAAAACAGGGGAAGAGAGATCTCTATCGCAGGTGCAATGACTCGACCAGCCGTCGCCTGGGAGCGTTCTCTTTCAATTGTGTAACCCTAGCCATAGAGCTGGCCCTTTCCCTATTCCCTATTCTAACGCCGGGTTCAATCAACTCTCTGGCGGCTGGCACCTTTACGCATGGCAACCGACGACCAGGCTCTCTTCAGGGCTCCGGATCTTGGAGACGGCCACGGGTACGGGTCATGCCAAGTCAGACGCTCTCTCGCTTGAACTAATACTTTGTATAATTATCGCTTTGCTGAATCTTCTTGCACATGATGTATGGAGTGCCAGTGCTATCGAGCGAGCTGGGCCATTGGGTTTTATGGCTTTCTGGGCTCCAACTCTGGGACAGAACACGCAGCTCCAGAACCCAAGACTCGAGCTCCAGCCTGGCACATTCTGTGCCCTATCTTCGGTGTCCGATCATTAGCTAAATGCCATGCCAGCGTGGGAGGAGAGATACCAGATCCCAGATACACCATCCAGCACCTAGAGCATTTGGAGCCTCTGGCGAATGTTAGATACCAGATACGGATCGGCTGAGGGAGACAGCAACGGGAAACAAAAGTCAGCGAGCAATTAGCGCTCGGAGAGTGCCACTTAATTGAATCGCGGTCCATGGTCCGTGGTCCGCGGTTCGGGTTTCTTAAGTCAGGACATCGAACGTGAGACTTTTCCGGTGCAAATTACTAAACAGTTACGCATGCGCAGGGGGGGGAACTTGTTTGTTTTTACACAAGAAGAAAAAGATAGTACCTAACTCAAGCTTCTAAGGTCCAAATAAACCTAAAAAAAAGTAAGCTACCTTAAAGGATTTTTATATCGCTTGAGATTTAACTAGAAAAACAGCCTTCCCCTTTGATGAGAGACCCTCTTCCTCAGCTACAAATTTATTATTTTATATTTATATATGCAAAAAAAACATAGAGTTTCCCTACCTCCTTCTCTGTTAGAGTTTCTTTTTTGCTGTGCAGTTGATTGCCGGGCATCCATCACCTGTCAGGTAAACCGCTTCAGCTTCAGCTCCCAGCTCCCAGCTCAGGAGCAATCTGTATCTGAATCTGCATTGGAATCTGCCGTTGGTCGAGGCGTAGCTTCTATGTTATTTCGGCAATTGCTGTAATCAATGCGCTGTTATCAATAACAGCTAGCGGTGTAATAATTGAATGCTTTCTCCACCCAACTGTCCATCCATCCATCCGTCCAGCCCCATTCGGGTTGCCTTAAGAATTTGTCTAAAATTGCGCAAACAAAAATTATGATATATTTGCTCGCCAACCAAGAGCGAGAGAGAGATCCTCTGCAGACTGGTTCCAAGGCTGTGATTAGCTGCGGAGACCGGGGGAATACTGACAGCCGGACAGATTGATTGCTGGCACGGAATGGAGGCGGAGGACTACGAAGAGGTAGCACTCATTAAAGCCATGCAAAAGACATCAAAACAAATCAAAGACAGGACACTTGAGTCTAGTCTAGGGCCCCCAGGAGCATAACCATGAACTGTGGGAAAGAATGCTGGGCCATCCGTTTTGGACTCCACCCTTAACTGCTTAATTACAGCGCCCAAGGCCAGGCCCGGGCTCATTATTATCTATTAAGCAGTCAGGACTCCTCTCGTTGTTGTAGTAGTAGTTCCATTCCTGACCTGACAAACTGACAAACAGACACTGACTCTCTAATGACATAGGCCATAAATATGCATATGAGATGGAACCGAGCTCCAGGCCCAGGCACAGGCACAGGCCCAGGTCTGCCAGCAATTACAATGTCCCGATATAGACAGGCGGAATAGGCCTAGACCTTAGCCTTGGTAATTGTTTCATATGCAACCCGGGCTGCTGCAATTTCATGGCAGCCTCATCTCCTTGGTAGTCTCCATACCAGGCTTTGGCTTTGGCATTGGCATTGGCATTGGCATCGGCATCATCATGACCATCGGGCATAATTTACTTAGAAGGCATAGGAATCATGGTCTCCTGCTCCTCCTGCTCCTCCTCTCTCCTCGACGGGTTCTATAATAAAACACAGCGTCACGCCAAGGTAGCGCCCTAGCCTTGCGCAACTGCGTCCAATTTGGCCGCAATCGAGGAGCAGCATCAGCAGGAGCTCCTGCTTCGATGTCTACATTGCTACCTAGTCGCCGACATAATCATGTTAAATTACTCGCAAATTCATTTGCTGTGCGGCCTCCGCCGCCGCTACCAGTTGCAGTTGTTGCATTGTTAGGGCGCCGTGTTGGAAGTAGTTCCTAGTTGGAGAGATGTTGCTGCTGCCTGGCGGCTGCTTTCAGCAGCGTTGATGCATGGACATGATACGGAGGAGGCCCGGACCTCTCCTGGGCTCACTCCATATTGATCTGCTCGGCATTATGGAAATTATGTGATCAAGGCCGGGGGAAAATGGAAATTGTTTCTGTTTGCCGGTTGGAAATTTGCATGCTCTCCGGCAGAAGGCAATTACAGATCGATTTATTGCTACTCTCCCGGGGGCATTGTTTTTATTTTCTCCTCTTTATTTTGGCTGCATCTAATTAGAAGCTAGATAAACGCAGCATCAGCATCGCCACCAAAAGGCAGAGTGAGAAATTGCAGTAAGGCCTGGCTGGTGGGTGTGGTCAACAAGTTGCCGATGTTGCAGCTGCAAATAGCGGTAAAAAAAATAAGAAGAAACTAGAAAAAAAATAAGAAAATAAAAGGCAACGACAACGCATTTGGGGACAACCAACAAGCCGGCAAAGATTTGTGTTTATTTTGTAATCTTTGAAATATTTGTGGCATGGCAAATATTTTCACTCGCCGCGTTTCCGCATAGAGGCTCCCAAAGGTCCCCGAGAACCAAGGATGGGTATAGCCAAGACACAGAGAGAAAAGGGGGTATATTACATGAATAACTGAAGGGATTTCGGAGATAACTTCTCCTCAAATGGTTTAGTATTTATTTATATTTTCTGGCTTTGAAAAAGTTGCCTTGAAGTTTAACCTTTGATTTATGTTGTAAAATTAGTAAATAAAAAATTTATTAATTATAAACTTAAATTTTCTTCCGGTGTATTGAGAATATTTAGGAAAACTTCCACTTTTTCGCATCTGTGCCTGGCGGCGAGTCCACCTACAGCACTAAATAATAAAGCGTAACCAGCAAAAGGCGTGCCTGGTTGTGGGTCTCCGTCTCAGCTTAGCTCTGGCCATGAGACCACGAATCCCCAGCCTGAGTTCCAGCCTTAGTCCCAGTCCCCCAATCCCAATCCCAATCCCAGGCGGAGCACCTAGGCCTACTTATGTAAGTAAGGCTGCCAGTGCTTGTGGCTTGTAGTTTATGGTTTGTGTACACATTTTTGCACACATGCGCGCCGGGTCATTCAACTTGTTGCAGCCAGAAAGCCATGGCCATGGTCCATGGTCAGGTGGTGGCGGAGCGAAGGCGGTGCGCGCGCGCTTTCCTAGAATAAACAAAATGCACGACTTGGCCGAGAGCCGCCAACAACTTGGGCCACGAAGCCACATCAACACCAGCTTGCAACTAGCAACCAGCAACATGCAGCAGCAACTTGGCTGACTAACTGACTGACTGACTTCTGTTTGTTGGACCGACACGACCATGTTTGATGTGTACCATCATCGTCATCATCATGATCAACCGGCTGGGGCAATGATGATGATGCATGTGGCTTGTTTTAGTTGTTGCACTTGCACAAGGCAGAAATGGTTGCATAAGTTTCGCTTCGCTTCGGGAACCGGCCACATGATTGACTCCCATTGCCAGGTCCCCAGTCGCAGTCACCAGTCCCCAATCCCCAGTCCCCAGTCCAAGGCTCTAGAGTCAAGTAGAGATGGCTTCCGCTGCCCTGCTGCCCCGGCAATCCTTAACAGTTAATGTGTGAATTTTTATGCGTTGCCAGGTTCGGGTCGTGTTGTTGTTCTTACCGCATAAAATGTAATTTACATCCGTTAGCTTCGAGTGAGAGAGGGTCCAGTGAGTCGCACTCCAGCTCGCCAGCTCCTGCTCCTGCTCCTGCTCCCCCTAGATCGAAATTGCTACTCTGATTTGCGGCCAGGCCCAGAGACCTGGGCCAAATTCATGCTTATGAGCACTTGCCGTTAGGATTTTTCTCATTGTTGTTTCGCCAGCAATTTGTTTGCCAAATTGTATGGGCCCAGCCTCCCCCTGGGGGACTCCCAGACTCCCATTTAAATAGCCAAGTCATCGAAGGCCGGGCTGGGCCAAGGCCCCCCCAGGTAACTATGCGGAAATTAAAATGTGAAATATTCCAGAAATTGTCAACCCTTCAACTGGACGCAATTAATCAAAGTCTCGGCAATTCATAAAGCTGCAATTTGTCAAATCATTTGTGGCAGCAACAAGTGGCTCTGCAGCAGCAACTGGTCTTGGCTTCTCCTTCTGGCCAACTGTCAGCTTTGGACAATTTGTTTTGAGCCATTTTTTCCACCAGCCACGAGGTTTAGAGCTTCGGCTGCGTGTGGTGTCCCAGAACGGCGGGCTACGTGCCATTTTTCTGGGATTTAGTGGGGCTACAAGTTGGATGTTGCTGCTCTTGCTGCTGCCCGGCTGCATTTTGATTATGTGGTAATAACAAGTTGCCGGCAGACAAAGCTATTGCAATTTGGTAGCTGTGGATGGATGTTGGGACCCTGTTATCACGCCGGAGAGGAAGAAACATGGCTATCTCAAGCCTACGCAGGCTCTGTTCCCATTCCCCTGGTCCCCTGGCCAATTGCATTTTACAATTAGAGTCCGGCATTCGCGGCAATAGATAAATTAATTTATTATGGTCATGGCAATGGACCAACGGATATGGCCATCGTAAAATTCCCGCCGTAATGGGTCCACTGCTATAGCATGGCTTTTCATTATATAATAAACATTCCTTCTACAATTTCTCATTGCAGCCCCGGTTCAGGAGTACACGGAGATCCAACAGTATTCAGGTAAGTCGGAGAAGCATCGAAACTTGATTAACTGGCTGACAGGTAAAGAGTTACCGGGGAGACAGGAGCCAGAAACCCAATAAAAATGCATTCAAATCCATTTTATGGTGATTACATTTGCGGAACGCAAGGATTAATGGCACTCTATTTACTTTGGACCATTGAGGATCCTTATTGCAAGCAGCTGAAGCTAGCTAGATACTTATTTACTTTATACTTTACGATAAACAATTTATTTAATCGAGATGATTGAGTATTTGTCTGCTTACAATTTTTTAGGAATTTATGGGAATTGTTTTTAAGCGATCAAATCTCAAGTAGCTCTTGTGTTTTTCAAAAGAAATCAATTTTAAAATATTTGTATTATACAAATTTGATGGTTATTGATAAAACCATAGGATAGGAATAATAAAAAGTAGTAAAACCGCTTATTGGGATGTTTAAGGACTCGTTAACATCACAGGGAACAATGGGAATAGTAAACACTGGGTACAATGGGAACAAAGCTCTCCCTGCTCAAAACCCCAATTATTTGTATGAATATCCCCCCTCAAACTGATCGATTCGGGGGCTATTAGCTAATTAGCTCGTTGAGGGGGCCAAGCAGTTGTCATAGCCGCTAATCGGCTGCCAATTATCGAGCCAATCGCCGTCATAAAGCGGCATTAGACGAGGTGTGAAGAGCCAGTCGCATGCGAAGACAAATGGAAACATAAAGAAATAAGCGTTGCCTCTTTACGAGTTACGCTTCAAACGTGAGCCGAGCTAGAGACCCAGTACCCATACCCAAACCCCAAACCCAAGCCGAGACCCAGAGATTTCAATCAAAAAAAATGGTCTAGCGGAAGGGAGGGGATCCCGCAGAGAAACTGGCGCGCTTAACGTGTTAATGATGTGATGTGGAATTTATAGCGGGTGGACGTCACTAAATTAGGCAGCCAGTCAGCCGAGACAGATACAGTGGACGGCACACATGGACTCCGGGGGGACAGACGTGCGCATATTTTAACGACAACCACGACGACAACGTCGACGACGACAGTTGACTTTTGTTTAACGACACTGATGAGCTATAAAAATTGTCTATAGCCGCACGTATTATGACAGCCGCTGGCGCTAAGCCGCGATTTATGGGCGGCACAGTAGCACACATCCATAGGAAAAGTAGGAAAGTATAGATATATGGATATATGTATGGAGGCAGTGGAGTGCTCCGCTTGCATAAGTAATGCCCTCGGAATCTATTAGCCGGAAAAGTGGGCGAGCAGAGGAGTCTATACCCATTGTTCATGGTGGTTCCCAGCCTCAGATGGCGGCCCAGATCTCGATATCTTGAGTTCAATCTCGTGTTCTTTTTAGAGGGCTGCTACTACAACTATGCGCACTACCAGGAGGGCGACCGCATCATGACCAATGAGCCGTGCCTGAACTGCACCTGCCACAACCGTATGTTGATGTGTTACCTGCGCGTCTGCCCCTTCACCAAGCCCATTGGCCACGACTGCATCGTGGAGAAGCGGGAGGATCAGTGCTGTCCCATCATCACCTGCCCAGAAGGTGAGTTTTTTTTTTTTGATGATGTGATCTTCCGGTATCCAAGTAACTTTTTTTTTCGTAGTGCCCGTGGATGTGCCCTACCATTCCCCGGAGCCAGGAACCGAGCTGAGCATCCCCGAGAAGTTCGGCTGCAGCATCGAGGAGAAGTTCTACCCTGAGGGCGCCCAGGTGCCATCGAACCCCAATAAGCCTTGCGAGCTGTGCTATTGCATCAACAACCAGACCAAGTGCGTCATGCAGGAGTGCACCCTGCACGTGGACGGCTGCCTGCCCATCTACAACAAGGGATCGTGCTGTCCAGTTCGCTACAGTTGCGGTAAGTTAAATGCCTGTTGGAGCACTTGAAACATTTATAAAAATCATATAAATATCTATATTTCAGACCACGAGAACGAATTGGACTTTATTGACCAGTCCACCACCACCACGACCACTACTGAGCGTCCCACAACTGGCTTCATTCTGCCCAGCACCATGGTGCCACCAGTGTCCACTGACTGCGTCCACGATGGAGAGATCTATGCCGATGGAGCCTCCCTGAAGGGCAAGAATGCCTGCGAACACTGCTACTGCATGCGCGGTGACATCGTCTGCGCCGTCCAGGAATGCGAGGTGCCCATGATGGCAGCCAATGGCAAGTCCTGCAAGGCTATGCCTGCGGCAGAGGGCCAGTGTTGCCCGAACAACTACATCTGCGAGGACGACAGCGCCACCACTGAGATTGTGGAGATCAGCACTGAGGAAAGCGTCACTTCGGTGCCAGCCAAGGGCATTCACGCTTCGATTCCCAAGGAGGATGTGGATCTGCAGGAGCACATCGACGACGAAGAGAAGGATAAGGAAAGTGCAACTGATATTCCCACGGCTGAGGGCAGTGGCGAGGTTGAGGATGAAGAAGAGGAGAAGGAGAAGGACAAGGCCACCACGATTGCTCCAGTTCATGTCACGGACGAGAAGGACTTCTCCTTTGAGCCCGAGTCCTCCACCGCCGGTATTGCCTCTGATTCCAGAATCGATGTGCCCTCCTCCACCGAGGAGACCAAGGAAACATCCACTGAGTCCGCCGAGGAGGAAGATATTGTCAAGATCGTCACCACGCCAGAGCCTGAGGGCAGCGGCGAAGAGGATGTGTCCAAGCCTGCCAAGACCCCCGAGAAAGACGTTACCGAAGATGAACTTATCAAGGTCAGCACTTCCGCTCCCGCCAAGGCCACGCCCGAAGAGTCCAGCACCTCTACTCCCACTGAAGAGGAGGAGAAGGAGGAGGACATTAAGCCCACGCCATCTGGAGAAGTCAGCGGTGAGGAGGAAGAAGGCAAGCCCACGCCTACTGAGGAAGGAAGCGGCGAAGAGGAGGAAGATGTCCAGCCGACATCGGCTCCAGAAGGATCTCAGGAGGAAGATGCAGCCAAGCCCACTTCTACTCCAGTGGCAGCAGATGAGAAGGATGTGGAACCCAAGCCCACATCCGCTCCAGAGGAAAGCGGAGACGACGAAGCGGAAGTCAAGCCCACTTCTACTCCTGCAGCCATTGACGAAACGGAAGAGGCAGCCAAGCCCACTCCAGCTCCCGAGGAAAGCGAGGAGGAGGAGTCCAAGCCCACCAAGGCTCCATCAGCCATCGATGAGGCCAAGCTCACGGAGTCCGCAGAGGAAGCTAGCGGCGAGGGCGAGGAGGAGATCATCAAGGGAACCACTCCCGCCGGAGAGGCAAGCAGCGAAGCTGAGGAGGAGATTATCAAGGGAACCACTCCCGCCGGTGAAACCAGCAGCGAAGCCGAAGAGGAGATCGTCAAGGAAACCACTCCCGCCGGAGAAGCCAGCAGCGAAGCAGAAGAGGAGATCGTCAAGGAAACCACTCCCGCCAGTGAAGCCAGCAGCGAAGCCGAAGAGGAGATCATTAAGGCCACCACTTCAGCACCCAAATCGGATGCTGAAGCCGAAAAGGAACCCGATACTGCCACTGAAGCTCCTGCTTATGGAGTCGAGGACATGGCCAAGCCCTCAACGGCAGCCGCCGACACCTCTGAAGAAGGAGAAACCATTAAGGTCACCACCCCAGCCGGCAAGGCATCAGATGAAGAAGAGGTTGCCGGAACAACAGCTCCCACTAAGGATGTCAGCGGTGAAGAGGAGATCATTAAGAGCAGCACACCCAAGACCTTGGGAGAACAGCCCGCAGCTGCCGAGGGATCTACCGAATTGCCAGTGGAAGAGGGAGAGTTGGAGAGTTCAACGGTTGCCCCGGCCGTTGCCTCGTCCACCCAGGCTGCTCAGGAGGATGAGATTGAAAGTTCCACCAGTGCACCCGCACGAGCTGGCGACAAGGAGGAAGCAGGCTCCACGGAGCCCACTCCCGAGAAGGATGATGAGGTTGAACAGGATGCCACAGATCTGCCAGTCGACGATGCTGTCAAGAGCACGACTGCCAAGACCACCACTACCGAAAAGACTGAGGAGGAGTCCTCCACCGAATCCGAGGAAGCTGAAGGCGAGACTGCCACCGGAACCCCAGTCGATAAGCCAGCAGTTACGCCTGTCGATGAGGAGCACAAGGATAAGGAGGATGAGCAGACTAGCACCGAACTGCCGGTCAAATCTGACGTGGTGCCGGCTGTTGTTCAACCCGAAGCCACTACTAGTCAGCCTGAGGAAGAGGAGGAAGTGTCCACCGATAAGCCATCCTCGGTTTACCTGCCTCCTGCTGGAGAGAAGGATAACGCTGAGTCCGACGAGGCTGCCACGGAACCCTCTGCCCAAGAGGAGCCAGCCAAGCCTGTGGAGACCACGGCAGCGCCCCAGGACATCTCATCCAGCACTGCTGCAGTCGACACACGCAATGACTTCGCAACGGAGAAGGCCACCGAGCAACCCAGCACCGAAGACCAGAGCACTGCTTCCGAGGCCATGCCACCCATGGATCTCCCCGCTGCCATTCCTGGAGAAGGCGATTGCCTGGTGGAGGGCAAGACCTATGCCAACAACAGTATCGTGCCCGCCACCGCTCCCTGCGACGTGTCCTGCCGATGTGTCAGCAGCCTGGTTGCCTGCCAACAGATGGAGTGCAAGCTGCCCGAAGACCGCGAGAAGTGTGTCCTGTCTGCCGATCTTTTGGATGGCTGCTGTCCCACTTACATCTGCGATGAGAGCACTGAGAGCATTGAGAAGGAACAGGACTCCACGGCCAAGCCCGTGGACAAGATCGACGAGGATGTCTCCGAGATCAGCACTGAAGAGATTCCCAAGGATGTCATCATGCCAACTGGCATTACTGAGCAGCCTCTTTCTCATTTCAAGCCCGATGAAGAGAGCCCGGCCATGACCACGGAAGCATCTACGACTGCCGCCAAGGTTGATAAGAAGCCAATTGAGGAGTCTGATGAGGAGAAGAAACCAATTGAGGAGGCCGACGAGGAGAAGAAGCCGATTGAGGAGTCCGACGAGAAGAAGAAACCAATTGAGGAGTCTGACGAGGAGAAGAAACCAATTGAGGAGTCCGACGAGGAGAAGAAACCAGTTGAAGGAGCTGATGAGAAGGAGAAGGATCAACCTACCCCAGCCGTCACTGCTGCTCCCGAGATTGATGTCGAGACCCACAAGCCAAGCGGAGAGGAAGCAAAGCCCGAGGACGAGACGAAGCCAGGAGATGAACCCGTTGATACAACGGAAGAGCCCAGCACCAAGAAACCTGTTGAAGAAGAGGCTTCCACACCCAGTCAGTTGTCTGAGGATTCCGAAAAGGATACCACAGCCGCTTCTATTCCGAGTGAAGAAGCCAAGCCAGTGGATGAACAGAAACCAACTGGAGAAGAGAAGCCCTCTGGTGAGCAGCCTGAGGATGAGATCCTTGCCGTCACAGCTACACCCGAGAAAGAAACTCCTGCCGTCACCGCAACCTCCGAGAAGGAGACGCTCGAGTCCTCGACTGAAGTGCCAACAGCCAAGCCAGAAGCGGAGGAACCATCTTCAGTCACCGAGAAAATGCCTGTTCTTCCCGCCCGTGCCCCAGCTGGAGATGACTTTGAGCAATTTACAACTGCTGCTCCCGCAAAGGCGTCCGATGAGAAGGAACCGTCTGATGAAGATGAGATTGCTCCTGCCACCTCTGTGCCCATTGAAAGCGAGGAAGAAATTAGCACCGAGAAGCCTGCCAAACATGGAACCTTGGTACCATTCCCCACTCTTGCCCCCACTCAGCCAGAGCAGAAACCTGCTGAGGAAGAGAGCTCCACTGAAATCGCCACTGAGCCAAGCATTGAAGGTGAGAAGGATACCTCTGCTGAGGCAGCCACACCCTCCGTGTCCGACAATGAGATCGAGGAAGAGGGTGAGGCTACTCCTGCTACTCCTGTGGCTGTTCCTGCTCCTGGTCCTCAAGCTTCCGATGAAGACAAGACCCCGAGCACTGACAAGACCGTCGATGCCGAAGAAAAGCCAACCACAATTGCCCCATCGGCTAGCGATGACGAATCCAAACTGCCCAAGCTTCCCCAGGATATCTTTGAAGAGGAACTGCCTGCAGTCACCGCTGCTCCCACGAAGGATCAAGATGAACAGAAGCCCGACGAGGATGAGACCTCTACATCTGCTTCTGCTGAGAAGGAGGTCGAGCCTGAATCTGATCGTGCAACTACTGTTGCTCCTGCTAAGGAACAGTCTGACGAGCAGTCCACTGGAGCTCCTGCTTCTGATGAGCGCAAGGAGTCCCCAGAATCCGAAGTGCCCACAACGGTTGCTCCTGGTGAGAAGATTCCCTCGAGCAGTATCACTCCTGATGAGGAACCTGCTGCCACTTCTGCTCCGGCTGCCACACCTGACGAAGATATAGAGCAGGATACCAGTATCGCAGCCTCAACAGAGATTCCCGAAGAGGATAAGGAACCGTCGACAGATAAGACGCCGCCCCAGGCAGAAGAGACGCCTGAGACTCCTGAAAAGACTCCCGAAGAGGAAATGGAACCTGCCGGTACCACCACCTCTCCAATTGCCGCTGATGAAAAGCCCGCTGTTCAGAAACTGCCTGAGGACGTTCTTGCCGAGATTCCACATCCATCCACTGAGGCTGGAATTCCAATTGACACAACTGTTCCTAGCGTGGAGAAGAAGGAACCTGCTGTTACCTCAAGCCCATCTGGTGAGGTCGATGAAGAAGTCACTACTACTCCGATCTCTGAAACGGATGAGAAGACATCAGAAACAGAGAAGCCAACTGAGGAGGAGAAGCCAACTGAGGAGGAGAAGCCAACTGAGGAGGAGAAGCCAACTGAAGGAGAGGAGCCATCTGAGGAAGAGAAGCCCGCTGAAGCACCTTCCAAGATTGCAACTCCCGAGGACAAGACTGAAGTTCCCGAGGAGGGATCTACTGAAGCCTCTGACGAAGTGGGACCCTCCACTGAATCTCATGCTGATAAACAGCCCGAGGATAAGCAGCCCTCATCCACTGCCCAGGCCCCAGTTGAGAATATTCCAAGTGCTTCTACCGAGCTGCCTGCTGAGGATGCCGACAAGGCCACCACTATTGCTCCTGCTGCCGCCGCCGGTCAAGTCACCTCCGCCCCGTCCGAACACAAGATTCCGTCCACTTCCAGCGAGGAGGACGAGAGTCCTGAAGGAACAACTGCCTCTCCACAGGCCACCGAAGATGATGATACTAAGAAACTGCTTCAGACCGAACCAACCTCGACCGAGAAGGTATCACAGGCTGATGACAAGAAGTCCGAGGACGACAAGGATGCTGAAGGGGAGCCAGAGTCTGCAACTTCAGTGCCACTACCGAGCACATCCGCTCCAGTCGCTGGCGGAGATATCGAAAAAGATGAGAATGCCTCCACTGAAGCCTCTACTGAACCCTCATCCCAGGAGGAAGAGGAGGAGATCAAGCCAACCACCGCTCCAGCCGTCGATGTACCGAAGCCATCCGAAAATGAGCCCGCATTGGATGAGCAGGAAGATGAAGTCACAACTAAGCCCATTACTGCGGAGGAGGACAGGGAGCCCAGCGATGACACCCCATCTGCTACTGCTGGACCCGTCGACGAGGCTTCTACAGATGCTCCCGCTAAGGACGAATCTAGCATTTCCACTGAGAAGGCGGAGCCAGAGGTCACCACCGCTGCCAGCCCAGCTGTGCCTGCCATGCCAGCTCCTCAGGACGATACCAAGACACCCCTTGATGTGGCCACCGATACCCCCGCCTCTCAAGAGGAGGAGGAACAAGACAAAACCGAGTCCCCGGTTGTTCCAGCAGTCCCCGAAGCTGATTCTACTGCTGCTCCTGTGGATGTTCCTTCAGCCGAGGAAATCGACACGAAGCCCATGGATGGTGTCATGTCCCAGACTGTTGGTCCACATGTCACCGACGATGAATCTACTGAAGATGCTGACCAGGCTTCTGTTACGGCAGCTCCTCAGGATGCTGAGAAGACGCCAGCCTCTGAACCTCCTGAGGATGCTGATAAGACTCCAGCCTCTGAAGCTCCTCAGGATGCTGACAAGACTCCAGTCACGGTATCTCCTCAAGATGCTGATGAGATCCCAGCAACAGTGGCTCCTTTGGATGATAAGGAGACTCCTCAGGTCGATGACAAGACTCCTGTTGATGATGAGAAGACTCCAGCTACCGCAGCTCCTCAGGATAATGAACAAACTCCAGTTACCGGCTCTCCTCAGGATGAAGTCCCAGCCACAGTTGCTCCTCAAGATACCGACAAGATTCCCGCTACAGTTGCTCCAGTTGTTCCTGAAGTTGAGCCCAGCAGCGAGCAGCCTCCTGCATCCGAGGATGTCGGCGAGGAGAGCACCGAACCTGCTGTCGATGATGCTGAGGCTAGCACTGACAAGGCTCCAGCTGGTGCCAAACTGAAGCCACCAACTCCCGCCCCTGCCATCCCATCGGAGTCCCCAGCCACCGAGGCAGAGATTGTGGCAGAAACAGCAGCTCCTGAACTTGAGAAGGATGTGCCCGAGAAGGACGTGTCCACAGAGCAGCCACAACCGGTTGATGAGAAGACCACTCCGGAACCAGTCGTGAAGCCCAGCCTGGATTCCACCGAGGAGGGAGAGGAGTCCGTGGAGTCCGAGGAGGAGCATGCTCCAGTCACGGAGGCAGCTGACAAGGAGGATGAGAGCAAGGAGACTGAGGACGAAGTTCCCGCTGTGGTGTCGGAGATTCCGGCACCAACAGGTGCTCCTGAAACACAGGATACTGAGGCCACCACAGTGCATCCCCTCTTCGCCCACCTACCCAGCAGCTCCACCAAGGCGCCTGCCATCGATGACCGTGTTGGAGAAGAAGATGAAGAGAGCACCACAATCCGCGCCAGCACAAGCACCAGCACCGAGGCACCAGTTACCGCTGCTTCGTCGACGACGACGGAGGCTAGCATCATCACGCCACCCCCTTACGCTCACGCTCCCGAGTACGAGGATGAGTACGACGAGGAGGAGGTATTTGGACCCGGTACCTGCCGCTATGCCGGCAAACTGTACGTGTCCGCCCAGCAGATACCGCGCGACGATCCCTGCGACTTCTGCTTCTGCTTCCGAAGCGATATCATCTGCCTGCAGCAGTCGTGCCCGCCACCGATTGCCGGCTGCCACGAGGAGCCCATTTCCGGCTTCTGCTGCCCGCGCTATGAGTGTCCAGTGTCCATGGCCGCCGTGCTGAACATCACCACGAGCACCACGACCACCAGCACCACCCTGCCGCCCCACTTCCTGCACTACTCGCACGGCGAGGCGGTGAAGCACACCGGCTGCCTGATCAACGGCCGATCCTACCGTGTCGGCGAGCAGATCGAGTCCACGAGCGGACCCTGCATCAGCTGCACGTAAGTTTATGAAAGGTTTTTTTTCCTGCTAAATCATTAATACCGGTACCCATATCAATTTCAGTTGCGGCGGCGACGGCAAGATGAAATGCGATCCCCAGCAGTGTGTGCCCGAGCCCACCATGCAGCAGGTGATGGCCGCCGTGGTGTCGGGACGCAAGAGATGAACCACCAGCCATGCTCACTAAATTTAATTTAACTAATTCTTAAGCACTGCAGACAACAATCACGAACCGACGAACCAACCAGCCCAGATTGCACCACTCGCCAACTAGCAATAGTAATAGGAACCACAACTAGAACCCCTCCCCCGCAATCAGTAACCGGAACCGGAAATCACACTCGAAATAGGTGCCAAAAGCAGGAAATAGGAAAGTACCAGAAACCAGACAACCACCTATCACAAACTTCAGAATGCAATAGTGTTAATTTGGGTTTGCCGACATTTGCACTCTTTCAATTGGATTACGCCCACTTGTTTCGGATTAGGTTACGGTGACGAAGCAACCAGTGATATTGTACTGTATACATAGTATAGGTGCAATTAATTTAGACGCGCTCACTTAAAGGATTACATATTTGTCACGATGGATGTGGAGAGAGTGGAGAGTGGTGACCAGTGACCAGTACAGTACAGCGCGTGCCTTGTAAGGTCGTTCATTGTGACCGCCCGCCCGCCGCCATAAACAATCGCTTTCAGGAGACTCTCAGCACACGAAAAGCTATTGCTATATTCCGGACCCGGACACACGCAATCAATGGCGTTACGAAGCCACGGCTTCCGGCCGCCGGACCGGACTGGACTCAATTCTATTCCTTTTGTCCCCAGTCCGTATCCCCCCTGTCCGGCGGCTCACTCTTCTCCAAAATGCGCTTTTATAATAGTATTTTAGTCACCTTATTTTTACAAACATTATTATTTTTGTGTATAATTGTTGCTTCTAGTCTTCTTTTGTTGCAAAGAGCAACGGAATCCTCCGCCTGTAACACGCGCACAACCCGATCGATCGATCTATATATCGCATATCGCGCTCGATCGGCCCAGTTGAATTGAGTTGAGTTGAGAAACTGTATCTTCTATACGAACTATTCCAAGCTTTTATACTTTTATATACAATACGTGTACGTGTACGTGTAGAGTGGAGAAACGAACGAACTAGTTTTTATAGCAATTTTACAAAACGAAACAGCGAATTGCATAGTTTTAACGGATTGAATTCCCAAGTGGGGCAGAACCGTAGTCTACATAGAATTTTTAGATCAACTGAAACAATGGAAACACTAAATACGGAACGCACAAACACACACACTGTCTGTCGGCGACGGCTACTGCTCGACTGACCGAAAACCGGATCGATAGGATCGGAGCATCTATATAGAAGTTACCTTTGTAAACTATTTTTTTTAACCACCGCCAGCTGCCGCGCTGGTGGAGGACGACACTTAACGATGATCCCGTCCAGGACTTTCGGTCACTTGAGCCTTAGCAATGCGCGCCGTAATCCGAACGAATACGAACATCAATTAGATTATATAATCTCTAAATATAGTTGTAGCCCTAAGTATTTAATTTTAAAAATAAATAAATAAATTTTAATTTAGATTTTATTTATTCTATATATCTTTTAAGAACAGCTCTTGTGTTTCCATACCTTATCATAATTTATATGCAAGCTTTTCTTTGTAATCTAATAAATAAATACAACGCTTTTTATTGAAATGTAAATTCCCCAGAGTTTAATTTGTTAAATGATATTTAACTCGTGGATAATATTAACAATAATGTGTCATTAAGAGAAATTCATACGAAGCTAGAAAATCAATGGGAAAGTTAAAATGTTTTAAGCAAGAATATAAAAGTCGTACAACTCGCTTCCTATTGAAAAAGGTTAAATTATATTACTATATTTTGAAATAAAAGTGGGTTTTTTTAACAGTAAATTGATTTTTAAGAATAGATAGTTTTAATGGGAAATTGGCTACTTTGGTAATAAAGTTTAATAAGTACAAAACGTATAAATATTACGTCGATTAATTGACATTTTATGATTTTAGACACCCTTGTGTCAAACACTAAAGTGTATACTTTTGTATTCCTTAACTGATAAGCGGGTAAAATATTCAATTAAAAGAGTCTTCATTTATGTAAATATGCAAATACCTTCAAGATACTGTAAAGCTCTAAAAATGAAGCTAGTCAAACAATAAATATGTATATATATATTGCAAATAGCTTCAAGATCACTTCGTTGCAAGAATCCTAGGATTAATATAAAAACTTCTTAAAGCTCGTTGTGCCTGCTGTGCTTGGAATGCCTGGATATGTACACGGTTAGGTCCTCGGGTAGCGGACAATGGTCCAACTCCCGGGCAATGGCAAAGTAACGCTGCCTGAGGAGGTGAGCCACCTCCTTGGGCTGTCGGTTTCTGGTAAAGACACCCTTTTTGTTGCCACCAACACGCGTTATGGCTGCAATAAATACAAACTTATTGAATTAATAGAGATCCTGAGGATAGAAACCAAAAAAACCCACTCTGCGCCGTTCGGAAATCTGCAAAGTTCCACACAAACTCTCCTATGAACCACCGCTTCCCACGAAGCTCATCGAAGGCTCTAAAGTGCTTGGAGAAGAGCTGCACCTGGTATTCCTCGGACCAAATGAAGGCTGGCAACTTCAAGGAATTAAAATTAGAAATTAAAAGAAACCTACCCAAGGCATCGAACTACTCACCGAATGCATGCCTTCCATGGTGTCGCCGCCATACTCAAACTGAATAATCGGCTTTTCGAACTTGTCCCGCCAACTCTCGGCCTCTTCGGTCAGCTGGTCGACAATCATATCCGTGCGTCCGGCGTTCTGGTACCAGGAGTTGTAGCGATTAAACCCCACAATGTCCAGAAATTGCGCCAAGTGGCAGGTCGAGGGACTAGCATTTATGGCAGCCGTAAGAGGACGTCCCTGGGCAATGCTTCTCGTATAGGTCACCAAGGTCCTGAAAATTGTACCGGAAGAGGGTAATCTCTAAAAGGATCTGGAGTGGATAATACCCACTCAAAATATTCTAGGGCTCCCGGCTTGGCTGAGCGCGGCTCATTGGCCACCGACCAAGCGATGACGCTTGGGTGGTTCCTGTCCCTGTGGATGAGCTGCTCCAGCGAAGACATGTGTTGCTCCAGCAGTTGCGGCTCAAAAATGTCGATGTTAACAGCAGGACACTCGTCGATAATCATGATGCCTTGCTCGTCGGCGAACTGCATGGACTCCTCCGAGTAGGGGTAGTGTGAGGTGCGATAGGCATTCGCCCCGATCCACTTCAGCAGGTTGAAGTCGCGGGCCAAAAGCGCATTATCCAGACCCTTGCCTCGTATCTGGAATAAGAGGAAACTTTCATGAACCCTCTTGGTAGACGTTTCCCTCTACAAACCCACATCGGAGTCCTCGTGGCGGCCAAATCCCCGCAGGTAGAGCGGTACTCCATTGAGCAACAAGCTCTGATTGCTCCAGCTCAGGGTGCGTATACCCACTGGCAAGCGGTAAGCATCCTGCAAGGCACAGCCCGAGTCATCCTCATTGCAGGCAACGACTAACTGAAACTCCATACTGTAAAGATAGCCAGGATCGGAATTCATGAGGTAGGGCCACCATGGTTTAGCACTGGGCACTAGCAGGGAGCCTTGATAAACCAATCGATTCATCTGCTGTCCAACCTCCGTACCATCGCGGTCTCTCAGCACAACCCTGAGATTTGTGACCAACATTTGTTGATATTCCGCCGCTTGGCTTGCATCCACCCAAAGACGGTAGTCTATGCGTCCCATCCCGTTGCTGCTGTACAGGGTGCGCACCTCCAGGTCGCTGATATGGATTAGTGGAGTCGTGTACAGGTGCACGCTTCGGTGGATCCCCGCATAGTTGAAGAAGTCGAAGGTGTAGCTCTGGACAGGCACAGTGCCTTTATCGGTAGAGGCCTGGTAAACGGATCCCTGGGGAATTGTGCGGTTTCCCAACCTGTTGTCGCACATCACCGTGACCAGGTTCTCGCCGCCAAAGTTCAGCAGTGCGGAGATATCCGCCTCGAATGGCAGGTGGCCGATGGAGTGGCTGGTGGCGTTCCTGCCATTGATCCACACTATGGCCGAGTAGTGAACGCTGCCAAAGCGCAACCAGGTGCGAACACCGTCCTTCCAGAGGCGGGGCACATAAAAGGTCCTCTCGTACCAAACGGTGCCCACGTGATCCCTTAGGCTGTCCGTTGTGGCTATATCGTTGTAGGAGGCGGGCACGGGCATGGGTATGACTTCCTTCCCGCTCATCCTCAGGCTGTTGGCATACCACTTCTCGCGAATGCCCTGGAGCGGATCCTTGGGGTCACTCCTCACCAGCCGCCACATGCCGTCCAGGCTGCGCACCTCCCGCGTCTCCGACTCCCGGGGATACAGCAGTCCCTTGGTGGGTGTTGGCTTCCTAATCTCTCCATACTCGAACAAAGGCCATTCTTTGTTGTGTTTCAGACTTTGGGGGATTCCCTCTTGGTTAGCGGAGACCTGCAGCACGTAAAGCTGGAGGACCAGAAAGAAGGGCAAGGCTTTTCCCTTCCACCTCATAGTAAGACGGTGTTGCTGACTCTATGTGGGAAGGTTTATTATCAATTTTATGGAATGAAACTAATTAATTCTATAATTCGCCGGTTTTTGATAAGAGCTGGGTTAGTGAGACCATCGCGCAGTTGTGATAAAAAATCCCAAGAACTAAATAGGCAAATAAGTATTAAAATACCAAAAGCAATCTAGTATTTTCAAAACAATTCAAGTATTTTGTGCAACCGCCCCACGGTTCCACTGAATGGGAAAATCAACATAAAATTTCGTAGATTTTGTTTGAAAACAAAAACGAAATGTCGGAAAACGATGTGGACAAGTGGATCGAGACGGTCAAGGAGTGCAAGTACCTGCCCGAGAACCAGTTAAAGAAACTCTGCGAGATGGTCTGCGACATACTGGTAGAGGAGTCAAACATCCTGCCCGTCAGCACGCCGGTCACAGTCTGCGGAGACATCCATGGCCAGTTCTATGACCTGGAACAGCTGTTCCGGACAGGCGGCCAGGTGCCGGACACCAACTACATATTCATGGGCGACTTTGTCGATCGTGGCTACTACTCCCTGGAAACGTTCACCCGCTTGCTGACCCTGAAGGCGCGCTACCCCAACCGGATAACGCTGCTGCGCGGCAACCACGAGACCCGACAGATCACCAAGGTGTATGGCTTCTTCGACGAGTGCTTCAGCAAATACGGCAATGCCAATGGTTGGAAGTACTGCTGCAAGGTCTTTGATCTGCTCACCATCGCTGCCATCATCGACGAGGAAGTTTTGTGCGTGCACGGCGGCCTGAGTCCAGAGATCATCACTTTGGATCAAATCCGGACAATTGAACGGAATGGCGAGATACCGTACAAGGGTGCGTTCTGCGATCTGGTTTGGTCAGATCCCGAGGATATGGAGTTCTGGGGCCAAAGTCCACGCGGCGCTGGCTGGCTGTTCGGTCACAACGTGACCAAGGACTTTATGGCGATCAATAATCTGGATTTGATCTGTCGTGCTCATCAACTGGTCAACGAGGGCATCAAGTATATGTTCGAGGGCAAGCTGGTGACTGTGTGGTCGGCGCCCAACTATTGCTATCGGTGCGGAAACGTGGCGGCGATCCTAAGCTTCGACACAGCGCAACAGCGGCAGACGAAGATCTTTGTGGCGGTGCCGGATGGAGAACGAGTGATACCAAAGCAGAACACGACGCCGTACTTCCTGTAAATCAACCTATTGTGTTCCATGAAACGAATATATCCGCCCAGTCAACCAGAGGAGATTATGTACGTACGCTTTTTGGACGCAGTGCGGAGAGCAGCCTTCGGGCCTGAGTCTACCTTTACCGCCTATATTGCCTTTAACGAAACGTAAAAACGAACACAACAACACTCAAATGTATCATATCTATTTAGTTAGATTAAAAAGTGTATCCTTCATTTAGTTTTATATGTTATTAAACATAAATTAAACTTCGAACTTTAACGTCTTCTTTAGAGAAAGACTTTCTTTCGGTATTTAAAGTTAGTATTTTTACTGCCTTATACCATATGGTGTGGCCAGTTGCCGGAGAGGGGTAAATCCGCTCTTTTCTGGGGAATTTAAGCTTTTGTGAACGGAACATCTGGGGAACACACTGCTAACCGGGCCATCAAATCCCAAATATTATTTTTCCGCCTATGGATTGACTCCGATTGACCCCGCCGGACCTCTCAAGATAAGCGCCCCAAATGGTGAACATCTCCACCATCAACTGGCTCTTCGTCTGCGGGCTATGCTTTTGCCTGGGCGGCATTGGCGTTCTCAGCTTCATGCCCCTCAGCTCCGGTACGTGTATGAGGAGGAACCTTCTATAAATATTGACCTAAAACGCGCTCCGCTCTTTTTATAGACTGCATCTGCCCGCTGTCCAACCCGCTGGCCAAGCGAACGGGCGGTGAAGGAGGAGTAGGCGTGATGGAGAAGATACCTGCGGCGGAAAAGCAACCACATGATCACAAAGCCGCCGCACACAAGTTGGCCCTGTTGGTGCCGTTCCGGGATCGTTTCGAGGAGCTGCTCCAGTTCGTGCCGCACATGACAAGCTTCCTAAAGCGCCAGAACGTAGCGCACCACATATTTGTGCTCAATCAGGTGGACCGGTTCCGTTTCAACCGCGCCTCGCTGATCAACGTGGGCTTCCATTTCGCCAGCAACGTGTACGACTACATTGCCATGCACGACGTGGACCTATTACCACTTAACGACCAGCTGCGCTACGAATACCCCAGTGAATTGGGCCCACTGCACATTGCCGGACCCAAGCTGCATCCCAAGTACCACTACGACAGCTTCGTGGGCGGCATTCTGCTGGTGCGGCGCGAGCACTTCCAGCAGATGAACGGCATGTCCAACCAGTACTGGGGATGGGGCCTGGAGGACGACGAGTTCTTTGTGCGCATCCGGGATGCGGGGTTGCAGGTGACGCGACCGCAAAACATCAAGACTGGCACCAACGACACATTTAGGTGGGTGTTCCTTTCGATTTCAGAGAGCGTCGCATTAATTGGTTTCTGCATTGATTTCCCAGCCATATCCACAACCGCCATCATCGAAAGCGCGATACGCAGAAGTGCTTCAACCAGAAGGAGATGACCCGCAAGAGGGATCACAAGACGGGCCTGGACAACGTCAAGTACAAAATTCTAAAGGTCCATGAATTGGCCATAGACGGAGTGGATGTGACCATCCTCAACATAATGCTCGATTGTGATGTGAATAAAACGCCGTGGTGCGACTGCTCCGGCACGGCGGCGGCTGCCTCGGCCGTACAAACCTGAGGGGTTGTGCTTAACCAAAGAACCAACGTTTGCCTAGTCCAATCCTATGTTTATTTCGCTATATAATCTGTTTTGCTAATGATAAATGCGTTAATACACGTGCACCATGCCGTAGAGGAATGTCCAGAAGAGCACGTAGGTGCAAAGGCCGCCCATGAACTGGTTGGTCAGCAGGTTGCTGCGGTTGATGAAGAACTTGCGCCACTGGGTGCCGGACTTCAGCAGCACCAGGATCCAGAGCACGAACACGGACAGGAAGTAGAAGAGGAAGCCCAAAGTGCCGCTTAGGCCCAGGATTCCTACAAAAGGGGTTTCAATTTATTTAAAATTTGTTGCTGACACACTGGGAATTAGGTGCCAATTACCCGCAGCACAGCCAGATATGGCGGCCATCGACGTCCGGCAGTACTCCACGGCGGATATGTTGTTCCGGATGGCGCCCTCGCTGTAGGCGATGATCTCGCCGGTCTTGGACTGGGCCGTCTTTACACGGTTCATTTTAATTGATTAAATTATTTTTAATTTGACAAGAAAAATTATTCTCCGGCTGAGAGCTACGATAGTACTTTCGATTGGCAGGGCTGTCATCGATAACTTTGCACTGAAAAAAACCCTGGCTGATGTCTTTACGAAACTTGTTGTCATTCTGGTTTGATATTGCACTTTGAGTGATGTTTTAAACGAAAAAATAATCATTACTTGATTAAACGGGTTTTCATAATAGCTATACAATGCAGAAGTTGTAAAAACTATAGAAACACAATTTGTATGGTGAACTTTGCATATTATTATTAACAAGTTTTTCTTGCGGTGCACTCTCGTTTTTCCGTTATTGCTCATAACTGCGTTATTTGCCAGTCACCCGTTAACGTCGCTTGTTGTTATTGGAATTTGAGAACTCGGACGGACATTAATTCATTAAAATATGTGGTGATAACGCGACCTGCCGAATTCTGCGTGCTGAGGGCAATATGAGCAATTAGTCCGCCTGACGTGTGGGTACTACTACTGCTATGTTGTCGCGACCGCGGCCTGCTAAATGCCAACAATTGTTTTGAAACGCGGAGTTCCTGCCCAACATCACATCACACCCACCTCTACCACCCCTCCAGTTGTGCCTCCCAGCTCCACAACTGCGCCCCGAGCCCCCAACGGAAGGCAATTAAAAAATCAATCAGAGTGGGCCCTAATTGAGAGCTGCCGCCCAATCCGAGTCTAGGTTCGACTCCGGCTGCGTCGACATGTCGCCGAAGAACTGTGCGGTTTGCGGTGACAAGGCGCTGGGGTACAACTTCAACGCCGTCACCTGCGAGAGCTGCAAGGCCTTCTTCCGGCGAAATGCTCTGGCCAAGAAGCAGTTCACCTGCCCGTTCAACCAGAACTGCGACATCACCGTGGTGACTCGCCGCTTCTGCCAGAAATGTCGCCTTCGCAAGTGTCTGGACATTGGCATGAAGAGCGAGAACATCATGTCCGAGGAGGACAAGCTAATCAAGCGGCGCAAGATCGAGACGAACCGGGCGAAGCGCCGCATGATGGAGAACGGCACTGATGGTGGCGATGCCAACGATGATGGCGCCGGCGGCGGCAGCGGTGAAGACAATAAAGCGCCGGCGGACAGCAGCAGCAGTAACCTTGAGCTGTATTCCGGTTCGCAGGATTCACAGAGCTGCGGCTCGGCAGACAGCGGCGGTGCCAACGGCTGCACGGCCAGACAGGCCAGCTCAACGGGAGCTCAGGTCAATCCGCTGCAGATGACGGCCGAGAAGATCGTGGACCAGATCGTATCCGACCCGGATCGGGCCTCGCAGGCCATCAACCGGCTGATGCGCACACAGAAAGAGGCTATTTCCGTGATGGAGAAGGTCATCAGTTCGCAGAAGGACGCCCTGCGGCTTGTGTCGCACTTGATCGACTACCCAGGTGAGTAACTGGTAGTAGCCTTCTCCGCTAACCCCTGACCCCTCCCCCCTGACTGACTCGTTGCAGGCGACGCTCTGAAGATCATCAGCAAGTTCATGAACTCGCCCTTCAACGCGCTGACAGTATTCACCAAGTTCATGAGCTCTCCCACGGACGGCGTGGAGATAATCTCGAAGATCGTCGACTCGCCGGCGGACGTGGTGGAGTTCATGCAGAACCTGATGCATTCCCCGGAGGATGCCATCGATATTATGAACAAGTTCATGAATACCCCGGCGGAAGCGCTGCGCATTCTCAACCGCATCCTGAGCGGCGGCGGGGCGAACGGGGCAGCTCAGCAGACAGACCGCAAGCCATTTCTGGAAAAGGAGCTGGCGGCGACGAAAGAGCCTCCTCCGCCGGCGGAGCGGGTGGATACCGTCATACAAAGCATGCTGGGCAGCGGGAGTCCGCCAATTTCGCCACATGGCGCTGCCGTGGACCTGCAGTACCATTCGCCCGGCGCCGAAGAGCAGCCCAGCACCTCGAGCAGCCATCCCTTGGCCTACATAGCCAACTCTCCGGACTTCGACCTGAAGACCTTTATGCAGACCAACTACAACGACGAACCCAGTCTGGACAGCGACTTTAGCATCAACTCGATTGAGTCTGTGCTTTCCGAGGTGATACGCATCGAGTACCAGGCCTTCAACAGCATCCAGCATGCCGCGTCGCGGGTCAAAGATGAGATGTCCCACCAGGGCGGACCATACGGTGGCTGCAACGCCGCCGGAAATAGCAGCCAGCAGCACCTACAGCAACCTATCTGCGCCCCCTCCACCGTGCAATTGGATCGCGAACTGAACGAGGCCGAGCAAATGAAGCTGCGGGAACTGCGAATGGCCAGCGAGGCTCTCTACGATCCTGTGGACGAGGATCTCAGTGCCCTGATGATGGGCGATGATCGCATTAAGGTAAAAAATTACCCTCTGGCATTAGCCTTTGGTTCTTTCATTTGTACCGATCCAACCCAGCGCTCGGCTTATCTAATCGCGTTGTGCCAGCGGCGATATAGTCGGCACCTGGCAGCCGCTATTCAGTGATTCAGTGCTTATTGCAGAGATGGCCCATAGGCCATGACCATCCAGTAAGTTTCTGTGTTCCCAGCACTTCGGTGCTCCCAAATGTAAACACACACTTTTCAATGGGGTGGCTCGGATTTGAGGGCTTAAAATGTGAAGGAGAACTATTAGGGCACTTTATTTTAGGGCCAGTTTCTGAAGAATTGTGGATCCGAGGGCTATGTGTAAAATGTAAATATTAATGAAGGAAATTTTAGGAACTGCGAGAAGACAGCTAGGATTGTTTAGGGTTAGGTAACTTAAATTTCTATACTTCTTCCTGTGGCTAGGATTGGTTAGGGTTTGAATTCAAATTTAAAACAAATCTGAGCCCGTCTATTCTACCTTTGCATTAACTAAGACCTACCATTCCTTGTGGAGCTTGGATTTTTTCCCAAGAAAACCTAATCAAAAAAATATTTAAAATATCCAATAATTTTCCATTTAAAAAGAATACTCTTTTTCATGACCAAACTGTCAAAAAACACAACCTTGTTATCTTGGTTCCGGGGCAAGTGTCAACAATTACTATTAGACCTCTTGGCCTCCCACGGGTAAATTGTCCAAACATGAGTCACTGATTCCGCGAATGCATATTGCCATAAAACGAGCCACCCTAACCGTGAGCAATCGGTCTGTCTGGTGCGGTCGGTCTGCCAAGAGCAGGGCAGACAGTGGCTTTATCAGACCCATAATGACACTATCAACCATTATCAAGTGCTACAGCAGGCGCTCATGAGAGTCCACAGCGTCCAAATCGACGTTTATTGTCGCTTAGACTGTTTGCCTTTAGCGCCTCATCGCAATTAGCACATTTTCAGTATTGTTAATTGGGAAAAACGATACCATTTTTTTTGACGAAATATGGAGCAGCCAGGTGTTTAGGCTCTACGATAAGCAGAAGAGTGCTCCACAAGCAGATTGAGTCACCACCTTCCAGGGAGAAGCCTTTACGATTATGTATAAATAACTGATAGTAATGGCCACCTGTGCGTTCTGTTTCGATTTGTTTTTATTTGTTTTGTCAACCAGCCCGACGACACTCGCCACAACCCGAAGCTATTGCAGCTGATCAATCTAACGGCGGTGGCCATCAAGCGGCTTATCAAGATGGCCAAGAAGATAACAGCATTCCGTGACATGTGCCAGGAGGACCAGGTGGCCCTGCTCAAAGGCGGCTGCACAGAAATGATGATAATGCGTTCGGCGATGATTTATGACGATGATCGCGATGCCTGGAAGGTGAGTGTTACAAGGGTCCTTTAAATGGGTTCAGCAGATTCTGATTCTGATCCTGATCCGGATTCTGATCTGATTATTACAGGTACCCCACACCAAAGAGAACATGGGCAACATACGTACTGACCTGCTCAAGTTCGCCGAGGGCAATATATACGAGGAGCACCAGAAGTTCATCACGACCTTCGATGAAAAGTGGCGAATGGACGAGAACATTATCCTGATTATGTGCGCCATAGTCCTCTTCACCTCGGCTCGATCACGAGTGATACACAAAGACGTGATTAGATTGGAACAGGTGAGTGTCCGTTAAGCTGGCCGGCCCCCTTTCGTCTTTCTTATGGTATTTTTTTTAAGTTAGGGATCTAAATCGAGAGAGAAAGTCCGACATAATATAGCACAGATAACGTAGCTTGAAATGGGAAATATCACAAATCACTTTTAATGTTTAAATATCGATTATCTTACTTGATTTATTTATAAGTTCTATCAATCGATTTTTCCAGCTCTAGCCTCCGCTTTAAATATCGCTACATTATCGATAAAAAGATCGTTTTTGCGTTACAAAACTAAAATTATAATAAAGCACCCTTTAACTGCGTTTAAAACAAACATTAATTCCCTTCTTTTAATTACAGAATTCCTACTATTATCTTCTGCGAAGATATCTGGAGAGTGTTTACTCTGGCTGTGAGGCGAGAAACGCGTTTATCAAGCTGATCCAAAAGATTTCAGATGTAGAGCGTCTGAACAAGTTCATAATTAATGTCTATTTGAATGTTAACCCATCCCAGGTGGAGCCGTTGCTGCGTGAAATATTCGATTTGAAAAATCACTAGATAATGAGGCGGGGCAGGTGCATATAATGCCGGTGCCGAAATCGATGGAAAGATCAATCAGCCAGCTGCAGTTGTTGTTGTTGTTTTAATAATTATATAAGCGCTTCGGCCAGCTGATTCGTCTGTTTTTATCCTGTCGCTTGTAATGTTAGATTTTAATCGAATGTGATTGTTAGATTTGCATATACTGCATAGATTTTATATTTCTACATCAAAGAGAGCATATTTAGGATACCAAGTGCAAAGCAACACAATCTATATGTACACGTTTAACTAGTTTCAACTAAACACTGATGCAATAAATATGACCCAGTATATTTCAATTGACAAAATGCCTTTCTAATTTCCCGAATGAAACCAAAAGCCACTAAACAACAATGAAGATTTAATTTTGTTTCAGAAGGTCACAAAATGTACATGTTTTTTGTTTTTTGAAAAGAAATCAGAAGGGCAGAAAGGTGTGGAAGCCAACGGGAGGCGGTCACCCGGGGGAAACCACTCTGAATATCCGCACCCGTTTTGTGGTCCTCAGGAATCCGCGTCGTGTACGTATTCGCGGCCAGCGTCTGCGTTTGCATCTGCTACTGCCGTATCCGACATTCATTGTCATTTGTGTATTATGTAGGTAATATAATAGCATGAGTTCTCTTCTCACACACACCGCCACCACCACCACCTTGGTTACCGGTGGCGGGGCACAATTTCATTGTCAGCCCGGTTCTGTTGCCATCTCTAGGCTGTCTCAGGTTGATTCGCGGCAATCCTTGGCCCACTGCAGGAACTCATCCAAAGCGCTCACAGCCAAGTTGCGAGCCAGGGCCTTGACTCTGAGATTGCGATCGGTGGTGATGAGAACCAGTTCGGTTTGAATGAAACATTTGCCATCTGAAAGGGGGATTGAATATTGAATGTTATCAATTTTCTTAAAAGAATAACTAATGAGGAATGAGTGAATTCACCTCTGCATTGTTCAGATTTGGCTGACTTAGATACAGCCACAGCAGTGGCCAGAATTTTGTCATCGTTGGAGAGATACTCTTCCTCGACCAAGGCGAACACTGAGGCATTGACAAACGAGCCCTTGGTGGTGGCACATCTGAAAAGGGAAACAGAGTTTCATATATTATTATCTCTTACTCAATAAACACAGTATTACAAGGCAAAAACATTGTTGCCTAATCCAGATTACTGCATTCTCTAATCGCAACCACTAATCAGCCGGCCAGAGATTATCGATTACTTACTTCACATTACTCTTAGCAGACTTGATAAACTCCAGGGATTTCTTGGCCCGCGACGACACTTCGTCAAAGTGGTGAATACGCTGCGTCTGCTTGGAGCTGCAATAGGAATCCAACTTGACGCCCTTGGAGAGACCATCCAGTTCCCTGACCACTGTCAGCGGTATGATTAACGTGTAGCGCTTGAACTCCGCGGCCAGCTTCTCAAAGTCCTCCAGGCAGTCAATGAAGCAGTTGGTGTCGGGCAAAAGATAACGCGGGCGCACCTCTATGTATATCTTGGTGTCCACGAACTTCAGGATCTCCTCCAGCTTGGTGTTGCAGATCTGTCTAACCTTTGCCTTGGCCTCCAGCTCCTTCTTCAGCTTGCAAAGCTGCGAAACGTCCGCGTCGGTAGAGGGACACGGGTTAGCCACATCTGATGTTAGCCTGGTTGCACTTGCTAGACCACAACTCTCGGCATCAAAGTTATCCAGAGCGTTCTTCATGGCTGCGTTTAAATCCTCGATGGTGAAGCTCGAGTCAAGTGGTTGTTGTAACGAATCCTGGTGCTGGACATAGCAGTCCTGGAACTCGGCAATCTTGCGCAGGCGTTCGAGGAACTGTATGCGTTCGGTTGCAGGCTTACTGCAATCCTTGGTAATCATATCGCGACCCAAGGGATTGAAGCCGCTCAGGGCTATGTCCTCATCCAAAATAATGGCACACTTCTCCGGCTTCTGCTTGCCGAAAATGCAATCGATATGCTCGAAGAGCTTGGTCAGCTCAGACCAGCAATCGATAAAGTAGTGTCTGTGTATTAAATAGAAGATCCTTAGAAACTGGGATTAAGTGAAACAGAAATTTTTACTACTTACTCCTCCGACCTAACAGGCTCCCACAAGTCCACATTGATGCTTAGCCAATGCACATACACCTTCACAAACTGCAGATATGTGTTGACGTTGGCGTAACTAAAATATTTACAAAAATATAATATAAAATGTAATCAAAATAAATTTCAAGGTCATCTTGACATACTCCTCATCGGGAAGGCACTGGAAGTTAGTAGAGCCCTTTACAAAACCCGCCATTAGCTGGTTCGTCTTCTCTAGCATGAGTCCAAAGAATGAGTTGGCGAAATTGAAGCTGTGATAACGCATCTCGCGCCGTGACGCTGTTGAAAAAGAAAACAACAACATTAACTTCAACCATGATTAGGCCTTATCGTTGATACATACATTTCCTATGGTTGTGCTCCACAACAAACAAATTGAGTGCCACGATTTTCAGCAGCTTGGAGCGTGTCAACAGGTTCTTGTGCTTGAGCACGGCCCCCATCTGGATCTGCAGCTTTCGAAGCAGCTGGTACAACGAGTCCACACTATGAAAAGATCCAAATGCTATGACGTGATACATTCGTATTCCGCTTTCACTTTCGCACTCACTCTGTTCCCGTGTAGAGCTTGCCTATCAGGTACAGATACAGCGACACGATGCGTGGCAGCAGCTCCTCCGGCGGCATCTCCTCGTATCGATTGACCTCCGCCAAGGTGGCCTTGTTGCCCTTTCCCCTGTTGTTACCCTTGATATCGGTGCGATGCAGGCACCTTATGCCATCCGGATGGATCCACACCTCCTTGCGCATTTGTTTGGATTTCTGGTTTTTAGGGGCAGCCACTTGATGTATCGGCGATTGCTTCATCTCGGTTTCCTCATACTTGCGACGAATCTCGTCAAAGAGGTCTAGGAGCCTCTCCTTGGCCGTCTGAATTGAATTGGAAGTCAATAAACTTCGCATATAGAAGTAAACGGCATCGAAGCGCTTGTGCTGCAAGGAAATAAAACCATTGACAACCTCAATTAAAAATCTAGGAAAATCCCAAAATAGACTTGAAATCCTACTATCTAGCGGCGCAATCAAATGACTTGGCACCAGTGCTTGTGACTAAACAATATTAGTTGGGAATCCCATAAATGTGACGTGACAACTTTTTAACGATAAGAAAACCTTTCACTTACATGGTAAATGGAAATAACAGCCAGCTGGTTGTACGGAACCCCGTTGCCGGGCACCAGCTCCTGCGCCTTCTGATAGTATTTGGCCGCCTCCAGATAGTCGGTGGCCTGGACATGGTTCACCCGGTAACGCGACAAGTCGCCCAGGCAGATGAGGAGCCGTTGGGCCACCACCTTGACGGCACTCTCGCTGCGCGAAGAGGGTACGCACTTGGCTATGAGCTTCTCATACATCAGGCGGTAGAACTTGGTGGCCTGCTCGATCAGCAGAAGCGTGTGGGCGTACGCCTGGTCCGAGTGCTGGCTCCTTAGGTAATCGCGCACATTGTAGAACAGCAGCTTCCAAAAGAAGACATCCACCTTGTGCTCGCACACAAACTTCAGCTGCTCCAGCACCAGCTGCTTGAAGGCGTCCTGCATTTGGACGTGAATATCGCAGAAGTTCTTCCAGTTCTGTGGAGAGAGAGCAATTAGTGGAAGCCTTACAGAGCTAGGTTTTAGGTCATCTTACGGTCACGACGAGGTTCCTTTGCTGCAGCACCATCAGTTGGTCGTACAACTGAACTATATTCTTGGCCTGGGGCAGGCTCAGGAGGGGCTCAAACCAGTCCGGATGCTCGGTGGTTAAACGAGTGCGCGTCACTGGCGACGGCGGAGCTTGCACCTCGCCCTTGTCGTGATCGTTCCAACCTCGGCGACGAGCATTTTGGGCTTTGCCATTCCCATTGCCTCTACCACTCCCAGTCCCATCGTTATTCGCCACCGAGGTGGCCACCCGCAGGATGCCCGGAATCCCGCCATCGCGCACGCTCCCGCGCACGGCCCCGTTGGTAACCAAAACGGGTGCCTTGGGCTTCGCAGTAGTTGCACTGCTCAGGACGGTGACTGCAAGTGGTGAAATCAGAAGATACTAGATGTGACGCACTTGCTCACACAGAGACGCAGAGCACACTCACCTGGCCTTGGCGACGACGCTGGCTCCGCATTCTCAACGTTCTCCGTCGTTGGTGCGTGGCTGCAGCAGCTGGCTGCTATTTTGTTCTGCAGCCGTTTCGGTAGCGTCCCAATGATCAGCGATATATCATTTTGATCTCGCGTTCCCTTTCGATTCATGTTTAAAGCGCTGCCTTTGCTGGTGCATTTATCCCACTTGTTCAAGGGTGATCCGCCTTTGTTAAATTGTCAAATATTTTAGTGTGCTGTCGTAGGGTATATTACGTCTCGAAAAATCTCTAGAGATAGCGATGCTCGCGTGAGCGACTTCATTCACGGCTCACGAGGTGGTAGTGCATAAACAGGGTAGACATATGTGTGGTTATTTCGTATAATATTGAATATAAAAGGAATGTCTGACTATGAATAAATTATATTTTGTAAATTATATTTAATATTTTAGTTTAATTTATAAACACATTCACTTTTAAAGTCACGCACGCGAAGCTGGTACGATCTCATCTCTAGCAGGCAGTAACGCGTGCGCAGCAGTGTGACCAGCACTATCGCATTTCCAGGGCTGCATGCTTTACACTCTAGGCGCCAAAATTCAAATGATTAGAATTTCAAGGAAGGTTGGGTTTTGAATTCAGCTGTTAAGTTAACCATTTATGTAGCTCAAAAGAAAATATGTTGTTTAGAATTCTACTTCAACTACAATTACTTCTTTGTAATTTTAGCCAAATCTTCTGGCAAATTGAATATCCAAAAAAATAAGCCAAGCATTGGATAAATTTTGTTCGACTTTTCGGATTACATCTTTTTATTATAGTGTTTCAGTCTTCCACTAACGTATAATTATTGGATAGCGCTGTGAAAGTAATATATATTTCGGCCCATATTATTATTGCTTTACGTGTGTATTATTCTCAAATGCTCTATTTGAAGCTTGTTGGAAGTGTGTGGGGAGGGGGCGGGGGGGAGTTTTGATCAATCAATCTCTTACAAATAACGATCTATATATATTAAGAGATGCTCGCAGTTTAGTCAATGAGTAAATGATGAATTGGTTACTTTAATTATATTATACATACATAAGTCGTGTACACTTTAGATTCAAATAAGTTGTATAAATTGTTACAGTGCAACTACAAGGAATGGCTGAAGCAGACTCCTTGGTGTTTATAAATGTTGTATATGTATATCGGCAAAATCGATCATTATCTTTATATGAACTGTTCAATGTGAGCGTCAATAGATTTATATAAATATTGTAATAAATAATTACGTAAAAATGTTATCATATTTTAATCATTAATCCTAAATTCCCACACATGTTCGTTTTGTTTGTATGTTCTTCATGAATCGGATCGATCGGGGTTTATCTTGTACACGCAATGGTTAAAAAAATCTAAAAATTATAATTTAACGGCTCTAAGCAATTCAACGGATTGTGGGAGTCCATTCAATATCATTTAAAAAACGAATTCTATCGCATCCTCAGCTCGCCAAGTTTATGAATATTCATTGTTTCTCATCTTGTCCTTTTCGGTGTCCTGCAATTCAAATTAATTCAATTAATTAAGGAACAAATGATACGGCTGCTCCGACTGCTCGACTTACCCTCGGCAAATCCTTAGATGTGGACAGACCCGCCCGAAAGCGTACATCGATCTTCATTTGTTCAGTGCTGAAATCACGATCTCGGTTTTTTAACCGGCTCTTGTTGGTATTGTTCTGCTGATATTCACTCTTCCGGCTATTGGCTCCCCCGTAATGGGCCCCAAAGTCATTTTCTCTGTCAAAGTCCAGGCTGTCTCTGTCCTTGAACTGATAGTCGTTGCCTCGACGATACTCGCTGTAATTGCTTCCCCCGGCTCGGTGCACTGGATTACGGAAGCCAGCTCCGCCAGCGTTGAAGTGTTTTTGTGACATGCCGCCGCCGCCGCCGCCGCCGCCGGCGCCTCCTCCGCTTCGGCTATCGCGTTCTCGTTGCTCCTTATCGTCCGTGTGGCGATTGAAGCTGCGGCTAAGGGGGGCTTGCGCCTGGCTGTTGTTACCCTCTGGGCCATGCATGGGCGGTCGCTTCGAGGAGACTTCCTCTTCCTGCTTCTTTTCGTAGTGGAAGAAGTCGTCGAATATGGACGTTGAGTGGTTGTACGAGTGCAATATCTGCAGCACCTCGATCCCCTTGTCGTTAGGTACTTCCTGGGTATCCCGCGAGTTCGTCACCGACTTATTGTCATTGTTCTCCAATCGAATGTGGCGCAGCTTTCCATTAGGCACATCCTTCACATATATCCATTTCACCTTGAACTTGCCCTTCCACTTGTCCTGCGACCAAACACTGGACGTGGAGTTGTAGTCCACCGCAGTCATCATTTGTGCCATGCCACAGAAGTGGCCAGAGCCGTTCACCGAAAAGAACAGCATGATGTTTCCCCCCTCTTTGTGTCGCTCCTTGAAGGCATCGTCCAATCTCTTATTGCCGTGGTCGGTCGAGCACCAAATCTCATACTTTATACTGCGGTGGATGTCATCCTCGGAATACGATTTGATGACAAAAAACCTGCAAGGATTCAAAATAGTTCAATATTTATGTTTGTCTCTTTACGTCTCTTTATACAATTACCTTGTTGATGTGGCCTTGTTCAAGTCCACAACCTTCGGATTATAATTGTTTTTGTCTTTTAATTCGTCCAACAAAAGTTGGGGATCGACAGGCACCTCTTCGGCTGCGGACGCTGCTTCCACCGGTCGCGAATGGTTCTCCTCCCGGTACTCGAACTTGGAGGCATTCTCAAAGTCGCTGTTGCTTCGGAAACTCGAGTAGTTGTTGCCCGACCGATCGGCATTTCGGTTTGGATGAGGCGCACCGCCGGCGCCATCGTGCCGCCTGGCCTGATTGTTTGGCGGTCCAAAGGGACCGGGGCCTGCATTGGTCGCTGGACGTGGGGCTGCATGGTGCTGCTGGGCTGGGTGATGCTGCTGAGTGGATCCCATATTTCTGGGATTCCGAACGGGACCCGTTGGTGAGATCTTCGCTCTGTTGAAATTATTGTTGTTGTGGTGGTTGTGGTTGATGTTGGTGCCCAGGCCCTTGCTCTCATACTTGTGGAAGTTCTCCGTGTCCTTGTGCACCTTCTCTGTGCGAGCGCCCAGCTGTGGTGCCTGTCCATGATTATTGCCCGAGATGGAAAAGTCCGAACTCAAGTCAGAGTAGGCCAGATCGATGGGCGAGGGGGGAGAGGGTACGGGAGGAGGTTTGTTATTCGGTAAATCCCATACGTTAACATCTAAGTTGTGCTTTCCTGGCACCATTGGTGGCGGGGGCATGCCAGGACCCTTTTTCTTATTGTTGGAAGTGGTGGACGCTGTCTGTAATGTTACGGGGGATACAAATTAGGTATATTTATTGCCGATTAATAATATATATGATTTATATGGGTAAAAATGATTCCTTAACTTCTAACTAAATTATAAAGTATAAAAAAAAAACAACTTTAAGATTTCGATGTGCAGTTATACTCACTCTGGATGTTAATTTAGCCGGTTGAGAGGCAATTGACGCCCAGGTTGTTTTTTTGGGTGCGGCGACAACTTCGTGGTTTTGTGCTTCATCGCTGGCCCTGTTGTCCAGTTTTGTAGACGATGGATGGTCGTTTTCATTACGAATTGTCTACGTAAGAATAAATAATTTTATAATTATTATTTATTAAAAACTAGTATTAATTATTTAGTAAGGATATAAGGACAAATACCTGTGTTACCGGTTTCCTGGAATTCCAAGGATTTACTTGATGATCGTCTCGTCTTGTGTTGTTGGGAATACTATGTCCATGTCTTTTGTATGAATCTAATGAGGGAGAGCCAAATAATAAATAGAAAATCTTATAAATAAAATGTATATTAATTTTGTATTAATTTATTCTTAAATCCAAAAGTAAATAACTATATTCTGTAATTAACCAGTACTTAGGCTAACTTACCCACGCGCGACCTTCTTCTTCTTCTTGAGAATAGGACTTCATAAAAATTGAATAGAGATACTTGCTTTATCTGCGGGTCGAAGTGCATTAATCCAAGTCTCTAAAGTTAGCAAAAGCCTACACATTGGAGCACAGTTTGTGTTTTACTTCACTTTCAGGTAATCAGATCAAAAATCAAGTCAAAATTTACGTTTTCGATGGAGGGAGATGCATCAAAAAGCGAGGATGAGGACACCGTCCCAGTCAAGATAGGAATAATTGGGGAGGCCAATCTCGACACACCCATATATCTGACGGAGCGCATGGAATATGCCGTGTGCACGCCGTTCGGGAGCCCTTCGGACGTGATCATCGATGGCCAAATTGAAGGCGTCAATGTGTGCCTCCTGTCGAGGAATGGACGACAGCACGATATCATGCCTTCGAATATAAACTACCGGGCCAACGTGTGGGCCATGCGCAAGATGGGCTGCACCCACATCCTGGTGAGTAACACCTACAGCTCTCTGCGTGATAACATACAGCCGGGAATGCTGGTTGTGCCGGACGACTTTATCGATAACACGACCAGGCGGGCCCAGACCTTCTATGATGGCGCCAAAGGCAGTCCTCTGGGTGTTTGCCATGTTCCCATGGCTCCTGCCTTTTGTGACCGCACTCGAAAGCATCTCTTGAACGCCGCCCAGGAGCTAGAGTTTCCCACGCGATCCACCGCCACCGTGATGACCATTGAAGGGCCTCGTTATTCGACAGTCGCGGAGAATAACATGTACCGGAAGTGGGGAGCTGATCTCCTGAGCATGACCCTGTGTCCCGAGGCCACCTTGGCCAAAGAGGCCGGCATTCTGTTCGCCTCCCTGGGCCTGGTCACCAACATGGAGTGCTGGTGTGCCAAGCAGCCAAACGCTACGACCCACGAAATAATCTACATTTTCAAGAAGCAGGCGGAGCATCTCCAAAGGGTCATGGTATCGGCCATCAAGAGCATTGCTGAAGAGGACTGGTCTGAGGATATTCTGAAGGCCAAGGTAAGGCTGGTATTTAATCTTTTAATCTGCATTAACATAATTGAACCTTAATAGATCTTGGTGTGCAGTAACTTTGCGAATAGTAAATAATACTGTAATCCCATGTTAAATTTGTTTAAAAATAAATATTTTCGATAGAAAACTAAAGGAATCTAAAATCTGGGGCTTATACATATTTTTGTTTTTGATTACTTGGGAGAGTTCTACTAATTTTTCTTGATTAATTCGAGTTTAAATTAATTTGGAGAGGTATTTTTAAAAAGTTTACCTTAAGCATTTCTTTACAAAATCCAAAGAAAGGGCATTTCTAATTAATACTTAAGATTTTACCTAACAAAATTGATGACAAACGTTTTAGTTTTACAAAATAAACAAACTACTAAAAAAAAGAAATGTACTGATATTTCAGAAATAAAAGCTTTGGTAACTCCCACAAACAAGATTAATTGCTATTTTTATACAAGGCGCTCAAAGATATAGCGCTAGCGCATTGACTATTGCTCCAATCGGAAGCAAATAGGAGGATTTCCCGACGCACCAAGCAGCCCATGCATACAGAGCTCCCAGTTCCCATAGTCGAAAAACCAGTTAGCGAGAACGAATGAATGCACTCGGGGTGCTGTTATTGCTGTTGCTGCTGCTGGTGGTCGGCGCTATACAGTTATACATACCATGGTTGGCGTTTATCTTGCGGCCCTTGTTCATATTACTCCATGGAGTGCTGCAATTCTCCTTAAAGTTAAACGGCGGATATTGGAATTGCATGGAGTTTTCGTTGGCTTTTGGCGAGGGGGAGAGTGGGAGGAATCAAGTTCAAGTTAGCTATTGGGTTTAACTACTGGGTAAGAGGTGTGATTTAGCATACCGGCGGAGACTTCATCTTGAGTGGGAGAAGACAGATTTTCGTAAGAGGCCTCATCGACTTGCTGGCTCCATGGTATATTGCGCTCCTCGACCGATTTAACTGCATTATTAAGCATTGTAAACAGAGAAAAAAGTCGCATTAAAAGCGTACGGCAAAGAGTGGGGCCGGGGAGACGGGGGAGGAGGAGGCCGCAGCCGCGGCCGCCGTCGGCTTTGGTGGTGGTGGTGGGTTATATACCTGTGTTTCCTGGTATTTTCATCTGAAACAAAAACACAGCAGGTTAATTTATTACTTAAGCGTCTTCGTTATTATGTGTACATCATTCCGATGTATGTACACAAACATCTTCCTGCACAGAGCCCCCACTAAATCGAATTGAACATATGTACATATGTGTGTATGCAAAATACAATTACCTGATCCACGCCTGACATTTGCTGCACTTTTTGCCTGCAAATAGGAAATAGCTTAGTTTTGCGGGGCGGTATTCGGTGCGCTGACTTTCGCTTAATTACCCCGTTTAAAATAAATGATATAAAAACACAAGGCAGGTATAGTTTGTTGCTAAAAAGTTTTTATAAACTCCGATATATTTTTTACTTAAAGAACCACATACACTGACACCACACGCACATTAACCAATACACTGATAAAATTCTTAACGCTTCCGAAGCCGCCTATTTCCAGCGTCGGCGTTGTGGCCAAAGGAAGCGACGTTATAAACACACAAATAACGGATGTCGGTTCGAATGTGAAGCTTTTAAATATTTAAATTTTATGTTTTCATAAGCAATAACCTAGTGTGCCAAGCGCAGAGTTTCACTTTAAAGCATATTTTTAATAAATTATTTAAATTGTGGTATTTTTACAACACTTAATACCACAATCGCCGGCAGCGTTGCATCCCTGGAATTAAATCGATACTTCGATATAATAATTTTATTGATTGTCACTGTAACTTCTAGGTAATACTACAGTTTTATATTTTATAAATAGAGTTCGGTTTATATTCAGCACATCTAGGAAGTGACCAAGAAAGTACTTTCCACAGGGTAAGTGTAAATTAAACAAACACAAAAGCAGTGTGACCGCCTTGCATCAGGGAAAACTGAGTACAAACGATGATGCCGATCAGAGGCACATCTCCATTATAGATAGTGTCAGCTCTAATAGCCACCTCATCTTTGTCAGCCGTAGATTTTACTATATTTAAATTCGAGAAATGGCGAGGGCAGCGTTTTTCCTATGCCTGCTGATGGCCTGCGCCTGGACCAGCCAAGGCGTTATGTTCCACCTGCCGCCAAACACGCAGAAGTGCCTCAAGGAGGACATCCAGGCGAACCAACTGGTCATGGGTGAATACGAGGTGTCTGACGTGCCCGGCCAAATCATCGACTACATCGTGGGTTTCTACAATTAAAACATTTTAAAGGAGTTCGTTTGTGGTTAAACCTCTGTGTTTTGGCGTTTCAGGCTCGCGACACCAAGGGACACATCCTGTCGCAGAAGGAGCACATTACCAAGGGCAAGTTCAGCTTCATGTCCGAGGTGTACGACGCCTACGAGATATGCTTCATATCCAAAGTGCCTGCACGTAAGTTTTCCATGGGCTTTAACCTGCCAATCAGAGTCTTTAACATATCCGAACTTCAGATCAACGCGGAATATCGCAGGAAGTATCGCTGAACACTAAGAAGGGTGTGGAAACCAAGAGCTACGAAGGCGTGAGTTTAGCAATGAATCCTTGGCTGTCATCTTGAGTTTCTAACATACATGTATTTTCCCTGAAAAACAGATTGGCGAGGCCAGCAAGCTGAAGCCCTTGGAGGTGGATCTTAAGCGATTGGAAGACCTCTCGGACTCCATTGTGCGGGATTTCGTACTTATGCGCAAGCGGGAGGAGGAGATGCGCGATACCAATGGTATGAGGCGGAGTACTACTGTCTAGCATCCCATCTAATCGGGTTCCTTGTTGTATCCACAGAGAAAACCAACAGCCGCGTCCTGTTCTTCAGCATCTTCAGCATGTGCTGCCTGCTGGGCCTGGCGACGTGGCAAGTGCTGTACCTCCGCAGATATTTCAAAGCCAAAAAACTCATCGAGTAGAGATAGTCGTCGCTTAGCCGTAGTCCTTTGCGCGTGGAAGTGCGTTTGAATATTGCCTGGTTTAAAATTCATCATCTCTATTTTTAGCGTTTTTCTGAAATAAATGCAACTACCACGTATGTATATTTTATTACTGCGACAGCTTTTCTCACAACAGTGTCTTGGCGGTGTGTGACAACTAAATACAAATAGCTCGTTTTGGACGCGTTAAACATAACAGGTACATAAACACAAAACCACACGGTACAAGTTATTGGCTCAGCTTAGCATTAATTGAAGCCGAAGCTCTTCCCCTAAACGGTTGTTTCCTTCAGCAGCATGGCACTCTCCTCCCTGCATTCCTCACTCGCCAATGCCGCAGCCCCCTCCTCATCAGCGGTCTGCTTCCTGGGACTAGTTGTGGAGGCTGCTGGCTTGATCAGTATATAGCGCGACTTGGCCAACGAGCTGGCATGTGAATCGTCCACGACGGACTGCTCCATCCACAGGCTGTCGTCATTCAGCGACTGGTTTACCAAATTCGCCAAGCCCTCCGGCAGCTTGGAACAACCAATGGGGTCAGCGGGGCCTACAAGAAAAACAGAGATCAGAATTTAAGGGGTTATAGGGCACTAAAGCTCATACAAAATATAACTGAAAGGCACTTGAAAAAGAATAAGAAACAAATGAAAAGAAAAGAAGAAGTTGTGAGGTAAAAAACGTAATTTATTTTATCTTAAAAATGACGAACACATAATAAAAAATATACATAATTAAAACACAGATTCAAAACAATATTTTAATACGGTAAAGGAACCAAAGTAAAGTTTCAATTTTTTTAGATGATCGCAGCGACAAATTACACTTTCAAAAAGCATCTAGTGCGACAACATAAGATTCGAGTAATTCTAAACTATTTACACAAAAATAGTTTACATTTAGAAGCTCAAAAAATATCAACTTAACATTATTTTAATGTTTCTGCCAGCTGATTTTTGTAAGAAAATTGCACTTGAAAAGGATGCAGAGATTAGATTTCCATAACTTAGGATTTATTTTATAAATAACAAGCAAGGCGCATAGAAAAAAAAAGAAAGTATTTTAAATTGGCTAGCAAAGTTTTTTGGTAAATACGCGCGCCTTTTGTATGCATGCAGATATGTAGACGGGAATCCTGCGTCTATGGTAAATGAATTAATTATTAATTAAAATAATTCAAGCCTTAAACTACTTAATACTCTTAACGACGAAATATAAATCAAAATAACAACAAAACTGGAATTAGTGAATGGTACAACACATAGGAATAACACTAGAATTGCGCTTAGAGCTGCGCCTCGGAGCAGTAGCAGCGTTTGGGGTGTCAACTTGATCCACATCACACACTCCTCCCGCCTCCTCCTCCTCATCATCATCATCATCGTCATTATCATCCCCTTTGTCGTTCTCGTCTTTAATGGATAAGCGCTTCAGTGTCTCTAGCCGGGACTTTAGCTGGCCAGGAGTTACCGTTCCCCGAGAGGGCTTTTCCCTGATTTCAGCATCACCCGTCTCCGGGCCGGGCGGCGATGTGGCCTCCTCAGATGCCCCCACTCTACTCTCCAAGATTCTGTTGTGCGGCATTAGTCTACCGTCGAGGGGACTGCGAGAACTGCTCGAGGTGGAGGTGCACGAGCTCGTGACCTCCGGATATGGCGAGTGCGACTCTGTGCTCTCTGGCGTGTACGGGTCCTCGTACAGACGCTCAGAGTCCGTGCTGAGATGCTGCGTATCTATTCGGTTAATAATGATCTCCTGCGTGAGCATCAGACGCTTGGAAATCAGCTTGTAGCGGTGGGCGACCGGCTGCCTCTTGATTATGTTTCGGCACATGAGGCAGATGGCCTCGCCAGTTCGATTGTTACTATCGTCGAACTGCAGATTATTGCTAGAGAGATGGGCGCATAGGCACATGCAGATATTGTCGGAGTCAATTATGTTAATACTAATATTCGGGAAGTTCGGGCAATTCGCTTTGGTCGTCTCCGCCGCAGCCGCAGCAGCAGCCTCAGCCTCGTTATGACTAATATTAAGGGAATTGTAGATATTTCGGGCCTCCAGCTTGGAACTGGTGGCTATATCCTCAAAGAGCTTATTCGAATAGGGACAATAATAATTCAGTTTGACTGCGGGCGGTGGTGGTGGTGATGGTGATGTTGAGATTTCGTTTGTTTTGGCGTAAGTAGTATGCGTGTCGTTGCAATCACAAGATCTATAAGTACCTTTGTTTGGTTTAAGACGGACAGTTAAGTAAACAGGCTACATGACAAAAAAGAAGAGATAATAATTATTAGACCGATGGAAGATTTGAAATATATTGTAAACCTAGACTTTTCATTTATTTCTTAGTTGGTTTCAAACTGTAAACTGTAGAAAGTGAGTCTAACTTCGAAGCCCGAAGCCTTTAAATATCCTTGCAGATCTATTAATAGTTTGAAGTAGATAGTAGCTGGATATGAAATCTAGTTTGAAGAAAAGTTATCGCTGGCTTGGATGCTAAAATTCCCAACTGCTCGGAAAGCAATCATCACTTTCCCCTTGACGTATTTGTATGTTTTCCTTATTGACCCAACCGACTTCAAAGGAATTTATATTACTCAGAGATACTATATTTATATATTTACAACATGCTTAGCTGAAGCCGACAAGTGTTGCTTGTTTGATAAGAAGAGAGTGGTCATAGTAAGCGTGGACTGAAAGTGAACTAAGCGACACCATGCCGAAGGGAAACAAATTATGTTAGGAGTCGAAGCAGAATTAGAAACAGCCTGGATCGAGTAAGACATTCGGAAACAAATTGAAGCTTCTAATAGAGCGAAGAGCAAGAATATTTTTCAAAAGTGGTGCAAAGTGGAAGACAATCGAGATTTGTAAGTACTTTCTGATTGCTTCTGTAGTTGAACAAAGGAGGAAAAAACATGGTTTAGTTATCACGTTACCTTGTGGTCGCCCATGCAGACACCTTCACCGATCATTCCGTAGGTCCACTCGTCGCTACGTATAATCTCATGGACTTGGGGACTCATCAGGATGCGATCGCACCAGGCCGGACAGCGGGTGGACATGTAGTCGGTGGGCATTTCGGGATCCTCCTCGAAGGGATACGACGGTATAAACTGAATGGGATATTCGACTAGGACGTCCTTAAGCGGCTCCAGTTCTCTGTCAAATTTCTTAAGCTACAAACGAAGGAGTATTTAGAATTTAGAACTTAAATTTGGTTAATATTCTTACCCAGTCTTCTTTGAACTTAAGCTGATGATCGGCATGACTAAATTCTTTTTTGCCAACGGTAAGTACGTTGTTTCCAGTTGAGTTTCGATAGTGGATCTTATCGTTCTCATTCTTGGTATTTTGAACGCGATGAGCGGTCAAGTTCTGAGTTAGTTCCTGTCGAGAAATTCTGGATTACATTCCTTGTCAGGTCGGTTAAGATGGCAAACTTACTTTCACAACCCCTTCAGTGTCACACCTAAAATTAAAATCCCCAAAGAGGAAAAATGGCACCGTGCCATTCTGTTCGTCCAGGTGGAACCTAGAATACATCACTTAATTATTAGCTTGAGCTGATTTTACAAGACCTTCTTACCTTTCAATAGTATGAACTAGAGCTCTTCTCCTGGTCTTGCAATAAACAGATGGGAAGTTTTCACAGGCAGCCAAATTGGATGCATCATGGAATAAGTGTATGTTGACTAGATCGATAACTGTCCCATTGATTTCCCAACGGGTACGCATAAATCCCTTTCGCGACCATTTGCACTGAAGTTGCAAGAATAATATCTTCAATGCTGAGTTAAAACTTGAAGAGTATGGAGCTCACCTCGGGAAAGAAATGCTGTGGGAACTTTGATTTCTCTTTGGTGGCTATGGTTTCTATGTTTCCGGAATAGATATGCTTATCCTTAATGTCCGAAAGACTTTCTTCCCAGCTGTGTGTTAAGAAATTCCATAATTTTAATGAAGCCACATCTTGATGGACAAAATAGAGACTTCCAAGGGCCTGAAAAGGAAAAATAGAGAAAAATATACAATTATATTCGTAGTTATATCGCTTATGAACGTAATGGAGCAATAGCTTTGGCTTTGTATGGCTTCGGCATGTTACCCTCCTCTTTTTTTCTTTCACAAAACAGAAATACTAAACCTAAAACTAATTCAAGATTTGCGTAAATCTAAGAATTCCTAAGATTTATTTAAAATAAAAAACAACAGGAAACGGAATGCCATTCTTTTAATAGCAATATCTTTTATGTGTAAACAAAGACTTGATGCCTTTGCCCACAAACTTTGAATGAAATAGATACATGCATTATTTATGCCCATAAGTTAGACCGATTATATTAACATACTCTGGCTATTTCGGTATATTATTGATTGACCCATTAGAACAATCATCAACACACCACAAGAGAGCCTATTTAAATGCTGAAACCGATGATACACAAATTCTCGTTGGGTGTTTTCGAAGTGACCTAGAAACACGATTCTTCACTCACCGTGAAATGCTCGGCCGACTTGAAATCCTCGTCCATGAAGATATGCATGCAGGTGTACGCCCCCATTTCGGGGTCATCGCACAGGCATTTGATGAACTCCTGGACGTACTCCATGGACTTTTCGTACGTCTTCCCGCCCACCTCCTGCAGGTGCAGGGCCAGGAATCGGGGCTGGAGATGCGAGACCTTTGCGAGGAACTCGTGGAGCCATAGCTGTAGAAGCCTCTCCGGCTGCAAGAACACAAATATCGGCGATTTAGGTTTAGTTTGTTTGCAAGCAGGGCAACATAGATACATATTTATGTCAGTGGGTCCATACATAAATATGCGTATTTACGCATCAGTATGTATGTACCGTACGTAAACATGTACGCCCCTTCTCTCCGCGCACTCACATCCTCGAACAGGCTGCCCACGTTCGCGGTGACCAGCAATAGTTCGGTGCTGAGCCCGTCTTCCTGTGCTGCTTCCATTTGTTGCTCCTGTTTCCCCAGCGATGCAACAATTTTATTGACTTTTCCTCAGCTATCTCCAATTGGAAAAATGTAAATACTAATTGGCAAAAGGCGCAGTGTGGCGGTGCTAGGGGCTAAATTTAGGATATTTTGCGTGTTTTCAGTATTATTTCTATGGGCGTTTTTGCAGTTTGAATATATTTAAACATTTGGCGGCAGTTTTCAAAATTTGATTTATGAAGGTAGAGTTAACTTAAACTGTACATTGAGAAATTGGTCCTAGTAAAAGAGAAGGTATTCATTGATAATTATAAATAGTAAGTAAAGTAAGGCAAAGTATAACAAATTTAGTTTGTCGTTTGACTTTAACTATATTTAAAAGTTTATTGGCAGGGTTTTTTTTTAGTGTTCCTATAATTAAATATGAATAAATGCATTCCGGAATTAAAATTCAAGCTATGTTTTAGCCCATTAACCAAGTAAACGATTAATGGTTTATGTTATGAGCATATCCGTCAAAGGAAATCGTTTTATGGACTCAATTTACACTCCCTATAATATATTGCTAAATTGTTTATAAAAGTGAGACTTTATAAGAGATTCTATAAATATATATTATTTCAACAAATTGCCAGATTAAACCATAATGTAGTTTGGCTTTTATCAGAAAGTTAAGTAACGGATATATGAAACTGGTGTAAGCTAAATGTTATCCCTAACAGAAAATTTAAAATGCTTCTTCAGTTGGCCTATATTCAGATTATTCTGAATTTTATGAAAAAGTATTGAGTTCAGAATGAGTGCCCGAGTAATAATACCTAGAAATATAGGTTTAAATTGATTTAAAATAAAGAGATAAGACAGTTTTATGAACAATCAATGAATAGACCTCATTAAACAGCACCTGTTAAGTGTCTTAATGAGCCGTTTAAAATGTGTGTCAGTTATGCAAATCGCTTCTTCCCACAAAACAAGTTTTTGACAAACTGTCAAAATAAAGTGGACAAAAACTCGAAACCCCATTCACAGATACTATATCTATATAGGCTTCGGTAGCTAAATCCAGCCTTTTTGAAAGTTGCCTAGTGAAAGTTATATTGAACTTTTTGTTACCTCTCTTTCGAAATCTCGGAACGCAAAACTGCACGTACCATGAATACTGAGTAGCACACGTGAGCAGCCGACGGTCGGTAGCCACATTTCTTGCAAGAATACACAAGTGATTCAAGACCCTACGGGGAAAACGCAATGGCAGTTATAAATACTTGCACATACTTACACATCCGTCGTCGGCCAGATATTTTCTTTGCAACAAAATATTTTCTGGTCGAAATTTATAAAGCCACGGGGACGGCACGAAAACCGTTTATTGTATTTTTAGGAACCGTTTAATTCATATCTTACCGCGATCGTCAAAATGCGGAATACATACCTTTCCGTTCTCATATGCGCCTCCTGCATTTGTGCTTGTGCCGCGGTGCCAGATAGCTATTCCGGGGATGTCCAGAACTCGAATTCATTGGATTTCGGTGCGTGGAATTTATAAAAGGATTTAAGAAATACATTGCTGCCAATCTATGGCCCAAAAATCGGATATAAACCCTTATTTCGGAGCTTATGTGTTATAATAACGGTTATATAAGAAAATATGTGACATTTATAAGACATGATACTGCAAATCGTTGTCCTAAGGACCAATACAAAATATCTAAAGGACCAAGACTGTTTCCCTAATATATAATTTAATAAAAGGATCATTAACAACCAAGACAAGTCTCAGAAAAATAATTTTCTGAATTATAAATAAACTTTAATTCTCCGGGATTAATTAATAAATGTTCTTAAAATTACACATTTCACATCAATTAACTTCCTTTATTTATATTTTCAAATTACATAGGCAATGACAGTGGAGCCTATAACTATAATCCGCCGCCCAACAACAACTACCTTCCTCCTGCCACGCCCGCACCCGAGTATCTGCCGCCGCCCAACAATGGATATCAATATAACCCGCCTCCAAACAACAATTACCTGCCACCTCCGCCTGAATATGGAGCACCGCCTCTAGGTTATCCCCAGTACGGTCCACCGCCTCCTCCTTTCTATAAGCCAGCTCCCCCAATGCCCTATTCGCACGACTCTTGGTTTCTGGAAAAACTAAAGTCCAAGATCAACCTGTATACGCTTGGAAAGATCTTGATAAAGCTCTTGATATTCAAGAAAATTGTCAAGTTCATTGGCTTGATTTTCTTGCTGTTGGTAGTGCCAAAACTGAAGAACCTCTTCAAAGAAGATATGATGTCTTCGGGGTCCGGCGAAAGTGACGGTGACGGAATGGAAAGTAAATTTGTGGAAACCGATAAGGGTAAAGTTTTTGAAGATCTTCCTTTGATCGGAAAAAATATTTTGATTATGTTTTCTTTCAGATAAATTAGCGCAACAAATCGAAGATCTGTATGATTTTGTAATAAATTCGATAGAGAATTTTGAAGGAAGGAGATCGTAGAAGAAATGGACCAAAATTAGTTTATAGAGTATTGTTAAAAATTGTATTACAGCTTGATTATTTATTTGTTAGAGTCTTTCTCATAAATAAACTTATTTGTATGTGGAGAGGCAGCTTTTATTTAATTGTGGGGTAAGATTTCAATATAAATATTTCAGTTTAAATAAAAATCCGTTACTACTTTTTATGCAGTATATTTTGAGTATTTCTTAAGTTTCCCTTGGTATATTTTAAAGCCGTTGGTATATTTAGGCGGCCAGGCCACGGTCATACTCATTTCAAGTCCGATCAGCTTTTTGGTGATCAAATCAGATTTCTCCTACCTGCGACACCTGTTGCTGCAACATAATGCTGCAGTTAATATTCATAGTTATCGTAGGCCTTTGCTTGGGTAATGTGTCTGCCCAGGAGTTGCGGCGTGTGGACGACACCGAGTTGATTCAACTCCTAACCGGCGAAAGCAACGTTGTGGTTTTGTTCAGTAAGTACATAAACATACATATGTACATACTTTTAAATAAAGTCCAGCCTACGTGGGCATCGATATGTTTGTATATGCACCGGCTATTTATGGTTAATACATCTACGTAACTTGCAGACACCAACAAAAACAATTGCAAGCGCTGCTTGGAGTACGAAAATGTGGTCTCGAAGATACATCCACAACTGAAGGAGACCCTATCCGCCATAGTTGTCCAGTCAGTGGACAGCAACCTGGTGTCCATCTACGATCCCAGCAAGGAGCCCGCACTAGTGTTCTTCAGACGCGGAATTCCCATCCTTTATCACGGCGAGGTGAACGAGGACGAGATACTGGACTTTTTCAACGACAACCTCGAGCCAGCGGTTAAAGAGCTATCCGATGACAACTTCGAGCATCTCACACAGGCCTCGACGGGGGCAACTACCGGGGACTGGTTTGTCTTCTTGTAAGCTATATTAGTCATATATTAGTCATGTATTAGTTGAGGTCGACGGTGTCTAAGCGCAGCGTCATAAAACATCCAAGTATGTATCTACATATACCTACACCCACTTCTAGCTATTCCGCCGAGTGTACCGTCTGTCAGCGACTCTATGCCGTCTGGGAGTCCGTGGGCGGAAAGCTCAAGCGAAAGCTGAACATCGCTCGGATGAACAGCTTGGAGTCTGGCATCTCCACGGCTAAGAGACTAGGTGCCTTGGAATCCCCTGCTTTTATTTTGTGAGTACAAAACAAATTGTACAAATTACAACAACAAATTGTTTTATAATACCCCAACTCTTCCAGCTTGAGGCAGGGCAAAATGTACAGGTACATGGCCAAGCAGTACACGCCGGAAGCCTTTGTCCAGTTCGCTGAGAAGGGATATCTCACACAGAGCCATCCGCAGCCAGTGCCGGAGATACCGAGCGCCGTGTAAGTTATTTCTCAGCACTCCAACTGCTCTTGCACATCTTCATCGATCGAATATTAAACTGAAAGTCCGATTATGACCGTTTTATAGGGATTTGTGAGAGACTCATGCATGTCTTTAGTAAGTGAGCCAAGATGAATATATAATTAATACGAGTTCAAACTAATTTCAATAATTGTAATATATTTAACTAAACAATTAATGAGTTTCTAGCCCCGGTGAAAGGTTGCGAGAACACTCCACGCCAAATTTGATTTTACACAACGATTCAAAATATCAATGCAAATCATAACCTTTGTAAATTATCCATAAAGTAATCATTAATTTGTATATAAACACTGATAATCAATACGGACCCCGGGTAAAACAGCCCCTGGCTTAAGAAGATCGATTTTAATCCCACGAAATATTATTTAAAGAGAGGTCGCAATCACTAACAATTAATTCTCATGTCTTTCAGAAACGACTTTTTGGGTCCACTTCAAAGTTATTTCAAAGCTGAAAACATCCAATCTCTGGCGGCTGTGGGAATTGTCTCATTGGTCGTCGTTCTATATCTTGCTAAAAAATTAACGAAACTGTTTAGTTCCGAAGCAGCAGCGAAAACTAAAAATAAGTCCAAGTAAACATATTTACAAAAACTGGGGGTCTTTTTTTGTTGAGAAAAAACTAAGGAAATGGTAAATTATTTGTACTGGTTTTTCTTTTTTACTCCACTGCCAGCAGTAAACCATAACATCGAGGTTAAGGTAACAAATAACTAACAATTATTAATATAATATAAAAGGAAGGTGATTCGAAAATTCCAAAATAAAAAAATATAACTCGAAAATCAAAAAACTGAAAATGAGCGCCAAACGAAACAAGTGATACTTACATTTGACATTCTACACGAGAATTCGACCCCAAGCCTGTAAAACCTTGTTTTGACATTTTACTTGGAAATTCAGAGGGACCAAGGAGGAAATATCAAATAAATATCACGATCTCTTTGGGCAAAAATATCAAATTTCGGTATATTATCAACAACTAACTCACACAGATCAGTGTTTATTATTTCGCATCGAATATTTAACAAGCCAATTGATTAGCGCTAAATATATTTGTGAGAGCGTGTTCGTTCAGCCGTGCGAGCTAGCACGCTGGCAATCTAGCCAATTGATTTGAGTGTGCGATGATAATAGTTTGGCGTGGAACACTCAATTTCAAACATCGTTTCGTTAACGCGTAGTTTTCGCGTTCATTCCCCTTGATTCTCTCGGTGTTTTTTTGGGTTTTCGCCGCTCGTTCTTCTGGGAATTATTTTATCGTACAGCATCTGCATCTCGGGTAATTCACTCAAAACACACTGCTATTTATATACGTGATTCGTGCAAAAAAGCTGCTCACAAAATGTCATTTGACGTCAGAAGGTCTTGAAACATTCGCATGTACATCAGTATGTATGTATGTATATAAAGTGTACATGAGTGGGAACGGGCGAGAGCGATCGAGAGAGCAGCAGCAGTGTTGCCGTATAAGCTACATTCTGAACAAAAATTAATTAAAATTTAAAGAAAACACGGCAGAATATTAAATTTAAAGAATTTAAGTGAATTTTGCTGCTTCACTTCAGCATTGAAACACGGCAAGGAAACCATTTAATAAAATCCATCAGCAAAAAATAACAAACAATAACCATTTGCCTTACAAAATTCTTTGAATTCACCCCTACTTGAAATTTTAAAAAATATATATATTTCAAGCATGCTAGATCTACCCCAAAACACGCCAAGCTGGCAACACCGTTCGGTATTGAGTTGATATTTCGGCTGTGGCTATATATTCGCTTGTAGTCAAGCGCACATGAGTCAGATTAACATTTCGCTTTTGTTCAGTTCAGTTGCTGAGTCCGAAGATACTCAGATACTCGCTGCCAGCCGAACCGTACTGAAGTCGACTACTCCTCATGTGCGTACTCACGTATAAAGCAGTTAAAAATGTGCAAACATACCACCATATGTATGTGGTGAAGAGTGCCAGCATTAATCGCATTTTTCTTCTGCACGACGACTAGAAAATCGCGTGAAAACAGCGGAACTTAATGTATTGTGTAAGTTCATTGGCGGTGAAAGATGAAAAGTGTCATTCCTAAAAATACACCTCCTCGTCGTCGTCGGGAATAAGTCGCATAAGGTCGGTCTCGGTAGCATAGCCAGTCGCCACAAAGGAAGCATAGTGCGCAGCAGGCCAGCGCCATCATGACAGTGACTAACTCACCACCCAAAAAGGCAGCCCAAGTACAGAAAATCGATATTCTAGTCGCGCTGTAACGCCGTGCAAGAGTGTGCCTACCTGAGCTCAGGCACAAAGGCAGCGAACCGACATTAGTATACCGAAAACCTTCTTCCGCTCTGAAGATACAGATACTCTGTACGCTGGCCTGGACTATGCCCATATCAATAGCATATCGTGTAGCTCCGCTGCTGCGAAACCATCTGTGATACGTGTACCTAAAACTAAACATAAAATCATACATAAAAACCTAGAGTTTCCGAAATGAACTAGCCTGAACCGATCGCTACTGCTTCTGGGAAATTAACCATGCGTCTTGTCCGCAGTAAATGTTGTCAACGTGATGTATCCGACTATCTGACCACCAGCTCCTCCTCCACCTCCACCTCCACCACGCACACCGAGGTCCACACCAAAAATATCTTTACGCGCTACTGGGACGGCCACATAAAAATGAAAGAGTCAACGAGCGAGGAAAAGGCCAGGGGCAAAACCATCGCCTCCACGGTAACAGCGACACCAACACCTGCCAAAAATACCACCACTGCTGCAACTACTCAGAGCGTCACCTTCGTTCGGAGCAATGCACCAGCTGTTTGCGACGCCAACGGGAATCCCAGGGTGGCTGAGAGCGAGTGGACATTCCCCCCGAAGGCGCCAACTCCGCACATCTACAATTGCCTGAGCCCCGTAAGTGCCATCCCAATCACCAGTTCCCCAACTATCCCGTGCAGATTATCGTGGCGCAGAATGACGTAACGGTTATTAGATACTCCCTGGGTGACCGCCCATAAAGTACAGAGCTCCTAGTGTGGGTTTTGCTCGTGTGTCTGCGTCTGTATCTGTGTGGGGCAGATAAAGAGGAAACAAAAATTATTTGCACTCCAACACAATTGCCGTCTAAATCATTAGTATGTATGGAGGTATGAACGGACTTACGGACATTTTGACTGTAGATTTATGGGCCATAAACTGGGCGCATTCAGCATTCATAAGATTCGGTTTTAACGGTCATTGTGGTGGCGATAAGATCGGCTGAGAGATCACTTGAGCAAATATGAATGACTGCTGGAGTGGTGGGAAATGATATTCGCGAATCTTTAGTTACCATCTGAGTTCGTTTTGTATCTTTTTTGTATCGCCATTTCCGGGTTTCACTTTCACCTTAATTGTTAACCTTGTTTGATGTTTTATTTTGAGCAAAACATTTGCTCATCAGCTTACGGGAATTTTTTGATTCAAAGAACCCTGGAGGTCGCTTCCGAATAATGCTACATTCAGAGAATTCCAAAACGATTCGAATGACGTAGAACTTGAGTTAATTGATAAGCGAAAACCGGACTGGAAGCTCACAAAGTAAACAAGAAAAACCCATCCATCGAAAGAGCTTGTCTTGAACTTAATCTTACGGGGAGCCATTTCCAGAGCCCATACATCATCCTAAAAATAGTACAGGGAATTTGAAAGAGTTTGCTATTGATAACAGGTTCCTTTCGCTATTTATGGTGTAGCGACGTGTAGCTAATTTCCTCTAACTGCTCAAGATAAGGTTTTTCCAAGAAGCTACCCAGTTTTTATGGTGCTTTTAGGGTTCCTTCGCAAAATAACCCCATATCTACTATATTCCTCATAAATTTGATCTAATTTCAAATTTTCACGTTCCTTATCTTCCAGGACATGATGGCGGCTTGTGATAAAAACAGCTTTAAAGGTTTTCGCAAGCAATTCAGTGGACGGTTTAAGCGCTTAGTGACTCGAAAAGTGGAACACACTCCAGTGATACCTCCAGAATTGAAGCCGCAACTTAAAACAATTTACGTTTATTAACTTAAGATGCAACGACTATTTGCAAGCACAAGTGTTTTCCTCAATGTCTGCATACGTACACCAACCACCAACAGCAACACCACCACCACCACCTGTGTATCTATAAATGGCAGGAAACATTAGTGATAGGAGAAGCAAGATATTTTTAAGTTATCATAATACCATTCTGATTGACAATTTTAAGTATTCAGCGATTCGTGCGTATTGTTAGGCTCAATAAAAGAAAAGAACATTTCATAAGACAGACAGCGACAACGTTTTAATGGACTCGGCTCCCTGGGTTAAACACTAGACATATCACATAAGTTTAGCGGCAACCTTTTATGTTAATATTCTTTGATGTTTCAACTATGTCCTACTTGTGTTAAACTTTATGTGCTTACCGAACTAAAACATTAAAAAGATGTAACAAGAGTTCCCTCACTGCGTCCCAACACTAACTTGTATTTAAATTATGATTAAAGTTTAAAAAGAACTACAGCAAGTGTAAAAATTATTTGTGACAAGGGCTTCAGCAGGTTTGTTCTTCTTTCAGAAAATGTTTAAGAAACTAAAGATGAAATGGCATTCAAGTTTAAATAAATTTAGGATCTTTGAAACCTTTAAATCGTTATAATAAAATTAAAAACAATGCAGCTTTGCTTAATATTTAATAAAAAATAACAATGTGGATTCGCTTTGTTCACAAAGTAGACCGCCGTGCCACCCCAAAAAGTGCAACATTTTCAAGGATCGCTTAATACGAGCTACGATCAAAACCAAGATTTGCAAATGCCAAGAGTGGTGACTTCTCAAGCTAAGTATTATTTGCCTGCTACCATCATGCTCAAGGAATGCAGACACGATAAGATTAAGGTAACAAAGTGGATATGCCACGTTGAGCGATGACCTAGAGTATATACTTTGGACAAATTCTCAGAGGAATCGAGAGACCCCATGCGATTGGCCGACTCTCTTTGGATTATCTTTGAAAATAAATCAAGTACCATGTGATAGTGGCAAAACCAAAGTACAATTTCAGGTAAGCGAGCATATAAATCTCGGATTTGAGGCTTTGCTGATGAACAGCAGTTTCAGGTAACCACTCTTTACATGTATTTTAAGCCAGGTTCGTGACCAATCGAAAAAAAGACTACAAAATGGCTGAAATGAGTATGTACATGGTCAGTCACCATCCTTGATATTTATCGATTTGTTATATTCGAAAAAATGAACTTAATAATTAAATAAAATGCTTATTTTATTCCAATCTAAACATACACACACACGTCTCTATATACATAGTCAAGTAATCATATATATAGTTCCACCGAGCGGAGACGCGCACAACAGTCATAATCTACGTTAGTTCCTGGGTGGTTGGGGCTGTGGCGGCGCTGGTCCCTGTGCTGCGGCGGGAACCAGTCTCTTTAGGGTCTCGATTGCTGGATCCGGGGCCACTGTCGGTGCTATTTGGTTCGGGCACTGCTGTCTCTTGGCTGGACTTTGCGGATTCCTCGGCCTGCTGGCCAGATTCGATATCTGTCTCTCGACGAGTCTCTTTGCGGGTCGGCGCTTGGTCCTCCTCATCTGAGCCCTCCACGCTGGAAATCGAGGGATTTCTCTGGGGGCAGAAGGTCGAGATGAGAAATGTTACATTACATGACTTGTCTAGGACTTACCATACACCTGCGTTGTCTGAACTCCATTAACTTACTCTTACGCTCCTCCCGCATACGTGTAAGTCGCATTAACAGGGTATAGTGCTGCTCCACGCGATGTAAACATGTTTTGCAAATGGTTTTTGGCAAGGGATCAGTCGGAGAAATCTGGCAAAAAGGATAACGACAAGGAATTACTTGGGGTTGCTCCCACAAACAGATATTGGTAGCGTTTGTTGTTATGCGGAAGCCGCTTTCCCCAATGGCTTCTCCAGGGCACACACAAGGGTGGTTTAACTGAGCACCTGGATACTCTTCGCCCCTGGAAACTCCTATATTTGGGAGTACTCACTGTTATTGGGAGGTAGCCGTTGATTTTCTCAACAAGACACAGACGTTGGCCATGATCACCATAAATATGTATGACTGTTCGGTGCATTTCGGAGCAGAGTCGGCACAGGAATCCGGATATACACGCCTTTTCGATGCTGCCCATGGCTGGCGATTCGGTAGTCCTGCCCAAGTCCTTGCAACTGATGCGATATCGGTTAATTCACAGAGCCAACAAAAACAACTTTCCAAAAATATATTGCATTAATACTTTTCGGATAGTATGTGTTGTGTTGTGTACATATGTTTCCACGCGAGGGTTGTATTTCCGATTACAGCAGCAGGCAGGTTGCCAACTTGTTTTTCGCTGCCTCCTAGACAGTTCGATAGTTCAATACAAAATAAGTGGATAACTGCACTTTCTGTTCTATTGCACATATTTCCAGCTGGAAAAGCCATATGATTGAACAAAGCCGCCGTGGAATTGGAACAGAAAAATATTAAGCAGAGGTAAGTTAGTGACTTTATCGTTAATTTTTAAAATTAACATGACAACATTATTTGTCTTAAATAAATATTTATACATATTTAAGTAGTTTCAGAATATTTACTGGCAAAAATGGGCATGGAACATGTGGAACTAGAACATAAAAAAGTGGCTGAAAACAGCTGTTCCCTACATTTTTGCTTTGTTTTGCGGGCTTGTGGAATTAGAACAAAAAGAAACTCCCCAGTAAATACTAGATATTTTATATGAAGTGATAATAATATTTATTCTTAAAAATATGCATCTATGGGACTTATAAACTAGGGTATATGGGCTTCTAGAAATCCTACTATATATGTAAAGTAGGACCAAAAACTCTTTATCATGTAAGAAACGCCTGAAGTGTCTCGAAGGATATTGAGGCATTATTTATAGATTTACTATTTGGTACGGCGAAGCTTTTGAAATTGGTACACTGGGGAAAACCAGGATCTATCATAAGCAGCGACTGGGTCTTCTGATTCGACAAACCAAAGAAAACCTCTCCTTGGACCTCAAAGGGAATCTTAACTTTTACATTGGGCGATCTCTGGATGGTGTTCAAAAGTTCCATATGACAGGTGTTGGCGCTTTCCCCAAAGAACACTCCATCCAAATCATTATCGGGAATTATTTGAAACTGGGGGATTCCCGCATTATTCAAAATTTTGCAGGTGAACACGCATTTCTTGCGCGGATCCTTTGGATGCGCGTAGATCCTGGTAGCCACATAGCCAACCGGATAGATCCAACTCTCGTTGTGAAAGTTGGGGTTCACCGATATTATCTCGCCCAGAGAGTGCAGCAATATGCTGTTCAAGTTCATGGGAAACGCAGACTTCTTTTTCCGTACGATAGCCACACTTTTGGCCTTATCATCGTTGGATTTCTTTTGCACAACCACCGGTTTGTTTTTCTTCGTTCCTCCACTATTCTCAGTAGTCTCAATTTTTCCATTGGTAACACTCGACCGAGAGCTGTTTGGTTTTTCCAGACCCTCGTGAAACATCAGGCGTTCAATCAGGTAAAGCCTCTGGCTCCTGGACCGAGATAACTCGGCCTGGAGGTGACAAATCTCATCGGTGAGTGAAGCGTTCTCCTATAAAGGTCAAATAACACAAAATTAATGACTAAAATAGATTGGGAGTCCGACAAACTGCAATGATTATGCACATACATTTGTATGTATGCCAATCTGTGTTTATATGCACAAATTGTGCTCTTAAAATCGCGGTTTGCTATTACCTACCAGCAGATAACTCTTAATGGAGCGTTTGAGGCTGTCGTAACGGCGCTTATACTTCAAATTCATGGTTTTTTAATTTATAAATATAGCAAAAACCAACGACGATGTAAAAAGTGTTGTTGCTTCCGCTGGTTTGTTTTGGTTATCGGAATGCAGGGTTGCAACCGATAAATAGTTTTTGGTATTAATAAATAAAACGATTTTACGGCTTTCGGTATTTTTATTTATTTACCACTGCAAACACCATAATCTTATCTTGATTGATTTGTAAAAAATTAAATTAAAAAAAATGGCACTTCAAAAATTGCCGAGTGCCAGAGTAAATAATAATTTTTTAATGCAGAAATGAGTCCCGGCCGTTGAGGAGTTCAAAAGTTCCTCTCTAAATAATCTCAACCTAATGAAAACTCGCGCAATAAAAACCTTGCCAAGGACATAATGCTGAAAAAGGCTAAATTCTGGCGCTCAGAAGCCAGGATATTCGAGAAATTAAGGTAAATGATGCTTTAAAAACCTGAAACTTACAGATTTTAGAAGATTTTCAGTTGGTAAAAAGTAACAATGGCCGATGTTGCGTAGAAGAACCTGTCTGCAAGGTGCGTTACCACACTTACCAACTAGCCCTAACAGTCTTGTATCTGTGTGCGTGTCAAAGAAACTATTATTTAATAGACTCTAAATCTAATCTCCCATCTAATTTCCAATCTAATCTTATTAAATGCATTTGCAATTGGGGGATTTTCGTTAAATATAAACAATAATATAGACCCGAAAAAACCCATCGATCACCATGGTAACAAGCGGGTGTCTATATGTTTGTTTTCACGCTTCTCCCCCCTTCCCTACTTCCGCCTAATGTTTGTGTCGGCCCACAAACATACCTATAGATGTGTGTAGGTAAATAATAATATGAGATAGTGTGTACGGAAGAGCGTGCGAAATGCCACTGAGAAAAATCTACGTCGGAGAGAAGCTTTATGAATCACATCGACTGTTCGGCATTATAAAGCCGTTAGTATGTTTTTGCACTCCGCTGACACTTGTTGGATTCTGTGTGCTGCTCCTTGGAAAATAAACAACAGCCCACAACATGGACGAGGAACAAATGTGGAAGGGGTTTTTCTTTAAACTCCAAGAACTTAAAATGAATCCGCCCACGGAGCACGAAACACAGTAAGAGTTCAGCACCCACACACCTATTCAAAATCTCTGAAAATTCGCACCTGTTGGTGGACATGTGTTTGTTTATCTCACCGAATAATATGAACATTTATGGAGCACGAGCACAGTGTGTCATAAGATAAATTAAATCTTTGAAAGTCGGATAATCATCTGTGTGCGTGAAGCGGCGAAAGTGATGTAAGGGGGCCCAAGCCCCAGATCGATTTTATATACTACACAAAAGTGGCAACATGAGTCAGGTTACGGGGAATTTTGTAACCCGGCATGCGGCTGGTTGGAGTTATCCACAAATGAATGTGCTTTTTCCGACAAACATTTATCAAATATTTATTCTAAAATTCATACACAATAGTGACTAATTTCTTGAATAATTAGAGCCTAACGAAAAAGGCAGAAGTAGGTTGTGCTATGCAAATATAAAATATCACAAGGTATGGTTTACTTATACTAATTACAATTTTCTCTTTCAGGCTGCAGGATGTCGACGATGGATTCTTTGAAAAGTTCGGTGCTCTTCTAAGACAGAAATCCCAGATCGATGAGGGTGTTCTCAAGAGTTCTCTGGCTCCCTTTGGTGAAAATGGTGAGGAGGAATCCGACGAGAGTCCTGATGGAACTCTTCAACTTGGTCAGGATCCGGAGTGCTCCAGCATCGACACCTTTACAACCGAAAGTGAACCGGCTTCCGTTTCGGACAATGATATTAGTGCAAGCGTTTTGGACTCGGCTCCTGTAATGAATGTACGTATTTGGGATTTATAATTTTAATATGAATTTTGATATCAAAGCAAACTGTGTTATATTTCTACAAGTTTAGGTTTTTTAAAGACCAAATTTAATTAGAATTCTTTACGTTTAAAGACAGCATAGCTCCCAGATTAAAGTTTTAAAGGTTTATCTCAATTGGTTGAGGAATAAATTGAGTGTCAGAATCTATATAAATACTTAATGAACTCAAAAAAGATTAACAAGTTTTCATTTTCTGTTGCTATTTTAAAAAGAAATTATTTAGTTCTATGATTTCGTAATAACAATAACGATTTTCTTTTTTTTAATTAAAATGTGCACTAATTTAAAGTTTTTTAAGAAACTTAACAACATTGTGATAGTTACTAATTAAATTCCGTCTGTAGGCATCGACCGAACACCTGTAACTAATGCATTTACGGTTATTCCACGATTTAGTTACTATAGTTACCCGAAACCATAATCATACATGGATAAATATGGTCGATATGGTTACCTCCAAAGCCTGGTCACATTGTAGGCCATTGCGAGACCTCCCCCATGCTTAGGAAATCCCGCGATAGGGTCAGTTCTCTAGATTGCAGCGGAGCATAACGATCCAACCGATTCCAATGCCCGTTTTCGTGCAATGTTTTATCTTATACCAACATTTTGCTGCTCGCATGTTTGCCGTCTGGGAAGGTGTATCTGCTTATAATTGAGCCGTTGAGCAAATTAAGTGGTGTCCATAGAAACGGTCGAGCAATAAACAAATGAAGCCATAACTATAGGCTATTCCCGCGGACCGTGTAAACAGACTCAATAATGTATACTGACAGCATAAACAAGCACTGGCTGCGGAAAAGGCAAACATTCGCTCGGGGCTGGCCAATTGAATGGGGAGAAAAGCTTAATGTACTTTAGAAAATGTATTTTTCATTACCACCTTGAGCTTTTTCCTTTCGGGCGTCCAAAAATAAAACATTTTCTCTTAAGATCGCCTTATTATTGCTCACAGACACTGCCCAACCGCCGTGTACACATGCACGAATACAATCGACTATTTAAATCGAATTGAGAGCAGCAGCCATACACTTTTTATCTCATGGTCAACGTCAAGATATTTCGGATATCGCCAAGATTTTCGAGACCGGACGCTGACCGTAAAGTACTTAGATACAGACTCTTCGCTCAAGCGGTTGGGAGTGGACGACGGAGTGCCTCCATCTAGATCGAGATACAGTGTCCGTGATTATCCGTTCTCTTCGCGTCTTCTCAGATATGTGCGTCGTCCATGTCCATTCCGGATTGTCTTGTGCCAAAAGTTTTCCCAGCCATTCTTAAGAACACACACATTTAGTTAGTGGACTGATCAGTTAGTTAGTTGCAACTGTTGAACATGAGCTACCTATCGTTGCCACGTGTTCTGAGCAAGTTCGGTTCCCAAAACCCGTCTAACCATAATTCGAAAACCAATAGCCTCAATCGATCCCGCTCCCGGACCGGATGTGAGGAGAACCGACTTCCGATAAAGGCATCCTCGATGCAATCGCTGAAAGAGCCAATACAGCGACGAATATTGAACCGAAATGGCAGCATCTCAAGTCGGCATTTTCGGGGTGTCCACAAGCATTTACTTGACTCCCATGCAAAGGAGGTTTGCCATTCGATGACCGTAAGTATAGGTCACCTGGTGTGGCGTGCCTGCCAGGTGTGTTATGTTCCAACGCAGGCTCTCTGAAAGTTTTTTTTTTGTTTTAATATTATGTGTTTATTCTCAGTGCCTAGGTAAACAAAGCGAAGCGATTGTATAAGTTCATTGATATGAGTTTGTTGTTGAGTCACTCGAGTTAATATTTTTGAATTTTATATACACCTATTTTCTTGGCAAATACAGAGCATCTTGTGTTTGAGGATTGTCCGCAATTGAAACTGAGGGAAACATAAATTATGGACTAGTTCTGTGAGCCAACTTGTGTGCTTTCCATTTAAAAAGTACATAAATTACGGGTTGATTGATTTTCTGATTTTTGCTGAGTCAATATTTATGTTTTTTTAGATTTCTTAAACTATTTTTCTTGAGAGGAGGTCTAGTATGACATCAGCTGTGTCTGGTTTTCCGCATTTTCCCGATGGCGTATTCAAGTTTTTGCAAACATTTCCGATTACTGGAATTTGCTGATATTTGCTCAAGCTTTGACCTTTAGAAAATTAATTGATTTCTATTTTTAATCGATTCACATTAAAATACCCCGCTAAATGTGGCTTTCGTCACAGAAACTTATTTTCTGGTGTGTCCTAAAGGGATTTTTAGAAGTGTAATTTGAATTGAATTGAATTCTTTCAGGTCACAGACTTGTATGAGGAGATATTATTTGAAATCTACAACAACATTGGCTGTGAAAACAACGATGAGTGCACCGGCAGTTTGGTGGAGTTCGTCCAGGATGCATTCAAAATTCCGAATGCCACGCATTTGGAAATTAGCGAGGCGGCCAGGCTCAAGGAACCGCCGAATGTTCGATTAAATGTGGAGATAATCAAGGCCGAGAATTTGTTGTCCAAGGATTCCAATGGCCTCTCGGATCCCTTTGTGACACTTTACCTGGAATCGAATGGCTCCCATCGTTATAACTCATCGGTTAAGCCTGCCACATTGAATCCTATCTGGGAGGAGCACTTTTCACTGTAGGTTTGAGATTTGAAAAGAGTTTTAAATAAGGTTTTAAATTGGAAAATCTATATTTTCAGGCCAATAGCCGAAAATGCTCGGGATGAAGTCCTTATTGTTGAAGTCTGGTAAGTTTGTTTTTTGTTTCAAAAAGAACCCTTAAAAATGCACTCTTTAAAGTCAAGATATCTAGCTTTATAAATAGACATAACGAGGAATAGTAGGTTTATGGTCTGAAGCAAACTAAAAAGAAGGTATGGCTGTTGAAAAATGATCATTTATCTTGAAATTTCAAAAGTTTTGTAGCCTTAATTTGTAAAGTTAAGTAAGGAAATAGTTTTGTAGCGTAAACTAGCATGTACATTATTTTTATTGTAAATTAAACATACAAATTTAATGCGAAACAATCGCTTTCAGGGACTTTGATGCCGCCGAAACTGTCAAGGAAAAGGTCAACAAAATACTGGATGTCAAGGGCGTCAAGGGACTTAGCAAGTTGATGAAGGAAATAGCCGTGACAGCTTCCTCCGGCAAGCATGACAATGAGTTGATAGGCAGAGCTGC